TAGGCCAAGATTTTTTACAGACTTACTGAATATATTTAATTCAAAGCAATTTCTAATGACAATATGAAAACTTTTTAACCAAATGTCAATTTCATGAAAATAAAATGCATGTAGCCTTAAGGTAAACGTATATTTTTCAAAGCCGTACGCGCAGCATGCGCCGTACGCACGGATATTTCACTCGTACCATACGCGCAGTATTTTATAAAATGCAGTAGGTATCCCAATATTGAAGGAGGCATGTTGATGACGTTATATAATGTGACACGTTCGGCGCTTGCTGATACTCAGTATTACCTAATGTTACCTTATGATTTTCCACTAGTACTGGTGGTTGCGACGTCCCTTCTAGAGAGGAATTATTGCTTTTAGTGGATGGTGTTTTTTCTAGTGGTTCAGTAGATGATTACTCCACCATTAAGCTACTTACTCGTTTCGAAATATATTTTTACTTCATTTCAGGAGTATTTATTTTTACTGTGTAGGCAACAATGATTCGTCAGTCAAGACATGCTACCAGTGACGTATCTATGTAACCAAGGGCCCCGGGGCGAAAATAAAATGGGGCCCTATTTAATCTAAATGAAATACTTTAAAGGTGCAAAACTATTTCATCATCAGCTCCTTGTCGCACACTGCTGGACATAATAAAGCAAAGCTACTTAGGCTTCCCGAGAATTTGTGCAACTGGATTAGCAGTTTTCTTGCAGATTGGAGCAACAAAGTCGAGAAGTAGAAGGTGCATGCTCCATTTACAAGCCTATTTATGCTGATGTTCCACAAGACTACGTGCTGTTTCTTCTGCTTATCAATAATATGTTGCAAAGTATCGTGCACTGGTAATACTTTATACACCGGCTGTGACCATATTTCTCGGGAAATGTCACCGAGTACCGGAAAAAACTTGTGTCTGAAGTCGAGTCTTTGCCGGATAAGGTCTCGGATTAGGGCGACCAAATCTAATTAAGTTCAATGCCCAGAAGACACAAGTTTGTGCTTTTACCACTAAAAAGAACCCCTTTGTCGTAGGTCCTCAATTTCAGGGCACTCCCCTTGTTATCTCAGCCAGTATCAGAATCTTCAGCGTTCACATATCGAATAAAATCCCGTTTCGTGATCAAATGGAAGGGAAGGCTGAATAAATCTCTAAAAAGCTTGGCGTACTCAGTAGAGTGGGACAGTATTTTATGCCGGCACACTGCTTGCAATTTTATAAGGGGCAGGTTCGTCCTAACGTGGAATATTTATTTCATCTCTGGGTCGAGGCTCCCTAGTACCAGCACCTTCCACTTGACCGCATCCAGCGCAGAGCGGCTCGAATTATCGACGGCCGACGAATACGAAAGACAAGACGAAGATATGTTGCATTCCTTTGCATTTTCTATCGCATTTACCACGGTGTTCAGAGGAATTGTTCGGATTAATTCCAGTCACAAAATTTCATCACCGCATTTCACAAATCCACATCGTCCGGATGTTTAGTCTTAGGGACTTTCAAGAAACGAGGTTACTCCTTTTTTAAAAGCCGGCAACGCGCCTGCAATTCCTCTGGTGTTGTATTTGCTAATAGGCGGTGGTCGACACTTGCCATCAAGTGAGCCGCATGCTTGTTTGTCTCCCTCCAAATAAAAAAAGACAATAAAATGAAGCAGACAATTATCTTTAACAATTGTTATATTTATGTTCTGCAAGTGATAGCAATTTTTGTGATTTCAGTTCGAGCCGTTCGCGGTCAGGGGCCAAAAAGTTAAAACTCAATTATTATTTATACAACTAGAATAGTATATAATTTTTCGAACATCGTTCTTGGAGGCCGTAGGGCCCCTTTAGCTTGGGGGCCCCGGGTCACTGCCCCGCCTAGCCCGGGTAGCTGGGATATTGTGAATCCAAAATCTTCTTTTTCTTTTTTCACTGGCAGCCTATTACAACAATTTTTTCCATAGCTAAATCAATGTCACTGTACTGTTTCCCACCAGTGGTTAGAAAATACTGTATAAGTAGTTGGCAATACTAAAGAATTACGTGTGCAGCGCGTACGGCGCTTATGTGCTATATGCGAGGACATCAGTAAATGCGGCGCGTACGGTGCGTACGGTGCTGACAAATGTGCGTTCACCTTTTGAGTAATTACATACACATGTAGCATTTTATTATCACCCTGCTAACACTCGAAAGAGGCGCAAACTAACGAAATTATATTATTATTATTATTATTATTATAGATTGCCTCATTGATATTTGCGATAGTTGCTAAGCTTGGCAAGCGGGTTTGCTACTGCGTTTTTTTATTATTTTGAATTGTTTTTACGAATTAGGAGTTTCAATTTCCTTCTGTCACCTCTTACACCCACAGGATAATATGATAATAGGAAAGTGAATTTTATGTCGCCATTACCCGACGAACTGTTTGGTGATGGGGAGCAGAGTTTTTCATTCACCGATTCCCGAATACTGGTAGTATGAGGGAATCGGTCTGTTCAGCATAAGTATCAGCATTCTTTTTATTTATGCATGACAGTTGGGGCGCTCTAGATATGAACCTATAACTGAGTATCATGGGCACGGACCGTTGCGCGCACTGTTTGCGGATGAATGGACGTTAATATTGTCTGAATGCCTGACGTTTTGTGAGCGAGAATAATGAATAAAAATGTCTTTAATTAATGTAATTGGTTTAATCGTTTTAAATAAAGTAAAAAAAAATAATCTCACAGTGCATAATAAAAGCTGTTAAAGGATTTTTTCGAGTCGGGGGATGAAAGAAGGTACGCAGTCCACCTATTTACTGATCTCCAATAATAAAGGTCAATGGTGGATATTCCTTCGAATTTTGTGCACATAGCAGAGGATTCAAAGATATGTAGCATTAGACAAATCTGAGGGACTTAAATGATATTTTCGTTTACTGTAAAGCAATATTTTTATGTGATAAATAAATTTAAAAAAATTACCATAATTAAAAAATAAGTGACACTTTATTGACAGAATGAGTCACGTCGTAAAATATAGATATTTCAATGTGATAAATAATTATTTCTAGATTTTAGAATGTTCACCATAAACTTGTTTATTTAAGAAACGTCTATATTCATTAAATTCCAGCAGTACTAAAATTATTCAGAGTTAATGTGCTGTATACAAAAAGTTTAATTACTAAGCTTATTAGCTGGAAGAATAATATATTATGACATAAGGCTGGAACGACTAAAAGAATTTGACTTCATACATGTTAGCTATTTCTCTATAATAGAGTTACTTTCGCTGTAGAAAATGTAATCACGACATGGAGAAAAAGTAAAGGACAAAGATATCCAATGGCCATTGATGTTTCGGTCAGATATTAATATAGAGTTATCATAGACGAGTGAGCATGCGATTGTAAGTGAATCTACGGCATATCAAAATGGCAAGGAAGAGGTAATGAGTTTGATTTTGATTTTTGCAGTTCTAAATGAAATGTATAATTAATTTTTTGCTGATTTTTATTAGGGGATCCTGTATATTTCACTCTTTTTTACTTGTCTTACATAATGTTTTACAACATAGTAGGTTGCTTCATCAACCAATGAGCGGGCATCTGTAACCAATATCAATCAAAAAAAGCTCAATGTCACATTCAGATCCGAAAACCGATCATTTTTGTTTTCAACCGACCTCAAAAAAGGTGGAGGTTGCCACCCGTACTGTAATATATAGAATCGCACTATATTTCAGTTAATTGATCTATATATTATAGAAAAATAATATAGTATGAAAAATACTATATTTTTATCCTTAATTCAACTGAGGCGTTTTTTGTATTAACTTGACTGGAAGTCTGCAACAAGTAAGTTTTACGGAAATAATTTTTTCCGACATGAATGTAATTTCGGAAATGTAATATGTATATGTATAAATTAATGGAAAGAAGAAAGAAATAGAGCGTGTAGCTATTAATTTATTTTAATATGCATCTAAATTGCTCAGATTCCTATAATTATTTTAAAGGTACCTAATAAGTTCATTGATGGCCAAAGCGAAGAGCATAATATCTTGTCGTGATGGTTATTATTATTTTGTAGGTGTAGTTCATCATCGCACGTAGTGGCTGCTTAAGAGAATCCATCAGCCAATTAAGTTCCGTGGGTGTCGTAAGAGGCGACTATGAGAAAAGCCAATTAAATCTTATGGCTTCCAATATATCCAGACCAGCGACCGGAGACAGCGGTAAAAGTACAAGACGTCTCTTCACTGCAGGTTTCCATCAACACTTGGTTGATATTACGAATATTCGAACTAAGTTGTGTATCTTTTATAATGCACACAGCCAAGGAGTGGATGCCCTGGAGGCATCTGTTTTTCTAAGTGTGTATAACCTGACTCTTTTCAAGGTGCATGTGAACAGGCGTCTCCTGGGCAAACTCGCTCCATTGTAGACCTCATATTTGCCCTCGGGTGGAGGTCAAAAGTGAGCCCATTTTTAATTAAAAAACCGTCTGATACTGCGTCGTCAATCCGCGTTTCAAGCATGACGACTATTGCAAATTCTCTTTCTGGAGGAGAGCGGGCTATTATGAACTAGTGATGATGATGATAATCTGCATGGTTATTAGTAAAACCACCTCGTTAGTCTAGTAGCGGTTATATACGAGGTTTTAGATCATGAGGTCCCGAGTTTGAATTCCGGGTTGCACCAAAATCATTTATTGGGTTTTTCTGTCAATAATTTCTCAAGTCAGAAGTTTTGCGGTGTTTAACCCCCGTGCCTCGGAAAAGCATTGGTCCTGCGCCTGATTTCTCTTCAGTCGTGTTGAAATACCAACCCATTGGAATATGAGAGTGAGGGAATAGAAAGTGCACCTGTACTTACGCACACACTTGGGCATTATAATACTGTCCTGCGCAGATGGCTAGTCTCCGTGAAGACTGGCCACCGTGACTGAATTTCGGTCCACAGGATATTATTATTATGGTTACCAATACAATAATTATTCTTCTCTTACAGAGCGGCTGACCCGAGAATGAAACGCGATGAGTCGGTAAAGAGCATCTCACAGTATAGAGCGACCAGGAGCGAGCAGCCGTCCTCGGTCGCGTTAGGCTGGCGGCAGAACTCGCTCACTATAAGCGCGTTCGCTCAGCATTCCGCTTACTTAGCTGAAAAAGCGCGCAACAAAGAAGTGTTAGTACACCATTATTTTGTTTATTTTTCTCATCCTTGACGATGTGCAAACTTTTCAAACTTACATGTTTAAAATGAAAAAGAGAATGGATTTTAGTCGACTTCAAAAGGAGTATGTTTTCAATTTGACTGTACCTATGTTCCGTTACACGCATGGATATAAGAAAGAAGTGTTTTATATATTTCTATGGTTAGACGGTTCGTCAATCGTGAACTGATTTTAAAATAATTCATTTTTTAATAAATAAGTTATTCTTCAAAAGAGGTCTCATATAAACCTGAAAAATTATTCCACATAAAAAATAGTATAATAAAAATATGAATAATAACTATTTGTATGACATTTGAAACTTTTACCTTGAGATTGTGATATTCTTTAATCCATTCAAAAGGAAAAAAAAATAACTTCTAATAAGAAGTAAAAGCTAATGTCAGATAACTACAAAGAATCAAACAATTTCCTCATATCACCTTATGAAGTTGTTCTCTGTATATTATTTTTATTCTATTTAGTTTCTTGAACTCTGCTTTTATGTTTTATAGAAAGTTAAATATTAAATGAAAAAAATTATCTTTCGTAAGATTAGAAATGATAATATTTCATAATAAAACTAGTTCTCATGAGACGTTACTCGTATAAGATTTCCCTTTTAAGTTTTGCACGGTAATTAATATACGCTCAAAACTTATTTTATTGTTACTGGCAACTCACAATTTTTTTATTACAGTAGATAGCTTAATTATGTTTCGAAGACATCTTTTCTCGAAATCATCGTTATTTTTATTTATATTAACCGGTAAATTCAGCGCTTTCGCTCAGCATTTCGCTTGCGTAGCTCAAAAGTTACATTCCTAGGTAGTGAGCGAATTCTGACGTTATTTCAAGAATGCTCGTCTAGCGGAAAAGTTGAATAAAGCAGCGAAACAACGTTATAGGTATTTACTTCTGAAAAGGTTTTTATATGTAGATCTTATGTAATATACATTACTTAGATACCTATTAATCATAAACTTCTTGTTCATTTTCAGTGAAGAACAAAAAGGTCAATCTCCACCAGTTTCGTGGTTTCATCTAGTGAGTAATTTCAAAATTAATTTATATAATTTCATATTTTAGGTACTCTATATTTAAAATAGTATATGCATTTCTTAAAATTACTTTCAAATTAGTGCTTATTTACCACGTGCTCGGCGGTGAAGGAAAACATCGTGAGGAAACCTGCATGTCTGAGAAATAAGAAAAAAACAAATATTTCGAAGACATGTGAAGTTCGCTAACACGCATTGGGGCAGCGGGGCGGACATTTCCTTGCCCTAAAACCCTCTCAGAAATGAGAGGGGGCCTGTGCCCAGCCGTGGGCCGTAAATAGGCTGCAACTTCACTTTACTTTTTTCTATCAGAAAAAAATATCTCACTCTTATTGTTGGTGTTATTTAATATATTATTTCAATAAAGTTCATTACACTTAAGAAATACAGGCAACGTAATTAGTTTTTAAGTGTTTGATGTAACAAAAAATGCTAATTTCTCTGTATCTCCAAGGAAACGCAAAAACTTTAATGGAAATGAATAAATAAGTCATTATTGTTGTGTTATTTACTATTTTGATATAGATGTATTATTTATTTAATAAAAGGAAAATGGCGACTAATAAGCTAATCATAGCTTCTAGAAATTATTGCCGTCAATTTCATTTCTTCGTTCTTTAATCACAATGGAAGCCTGCTCTCTAGAAGACATTAAATAAATCAGGTTTCGGCATTAACTAAGGTCATTCAGTACTAAAAAACAACGAGGTATTCGGTGACAAAGGAAGTCGTGAGCTCGTGAAGGTAACCTGGGAAATATAATAAATTTCAAGGAAATTTGAACTCCGCCAATAGTACCATAACAGGCTTCCCTGCTGTATTCCTTATTCAAAATTGAGACTAATATAGAGAAATGTACTAGTGCATGCTCTGGAATGTTTTTGGATCTATTATTTGTTTCACTTTATATGCCAAATCTATTAAAATTTTTGAGGTTTGTATTATCCACCCTCGTTTAATTTTCTAGATATACTTATTATTGTGTCTTTATCAAGCAGTTGTAATGTAACAAAAACAACAGTTTAGATACGCAACACCATGCGAACTGTTCCTGTTAATCGCGGGCGTGGTCCTGGCGACCCTGAACGGACTCTTTGTGCCTATTGGTGTGATCATCTACGGCGAGTTCACAGCTCTCCTCATAGACCGTACTGTGATGATCGGTACCTCGAGCCCAACCATCACCATGTCGATGTTCGGCGGCGGTAGAATACTGTAAGTTATTTCACTTTTGTCACTGAGTTTTTGTATCATAAAGTTGTGTCGATAAGAGTACACACTCACTCTGATCTGAAAATACATACATACATTTCTCACTAACAAACATCTGAACAATTATTTAAAGAACATGCAAATACTTAGTCCATGCATTCAAACTCAGCGCCAGCAGCGCCTTAGCTAAATACACAATATTTTTTTATTTTCACTTTCAAAATATGCATAGATAAATGTTTTATTTAATATTACATAATATAAAAGAAAAATCGGGTAAATATTATACATACATAGTAAATTTTCGTAAAACAATACATGTTATGCAAAATGTAAATGTTGGATGATACTTTCACTTTCGGAGCATATAGGGTAAACGAGGCTTTGAATTAGGGCCTGTTTAAATTATTAGAACTATCTAGCTGTTATCTTTGCTACTTGTGGAGCTTAGACAAAAAGTAGCGCTAAGCTAGTAGTAGTATACGTTGCTACAATATATTCTTTGTCGAGGACAAATTTGAGAACGTGCAAAATTTATTTGATAGCACAATAGTGGTGGAAATCAACTAATAGATTTTTTCTTAGTTGACCATTGTGCGATTGTGTAGTAGGTAATTCCACGTATTTGGTGATTATTGGTGAAGTACGTCGGGTTAATTATTAAATAGCGCTTACGCTAGAAGGAAGCGATGACCTCGGCTGCTTGACTAATTGGCCAGCGTGCGTCTTATTAATTGGCACACTTAGAGAGCGGCCCATGTCCAGGAGCCTACCGCTGACGGTGTTGATGATGATCCAACTAAATTCAAGAGTTTTTATATACATATACATTTCATATACATCTCGACGGCTCCATGGTGCAGTAGCTTAGCAATGAGTGGCAGCGCTAAGGTATGCGCGTTCGAATCCCGCACTAAATAAGTATCTATTTGTATGCCCTACAAATAATTGTTCCGGGTCTGGTTGGTTGTCCTTGTGAAATTAATGTATGTTAACTGCTCCCAAGGTATAGGAGGAAATCCTAGTGTGGATGTATCGTTTTTAATAATAATAAATTATTAGTAAAATTATTCAAACTGGTAAAAGTTATCTTTTAATATATTCTAAACTCAAAAATACAGCATTAAGATACAATATTTGCAGAACAAACGCAACCGCTGAAGAGAACCGCCAAGCATTAATCGAGGATTCGCAAGCCTTTGGCATCGGGTGCACGGTGTTCTCGGTGTTACAGTTCATATGCGGAGCAATCAGTGTGGATCTCTTCAACTATGCAGCGCTAAGACAAGTAACTAGCACACTTTAAACGTATCATTTACGGTCTCGGAGAAGTTTAACGGTATAGTGTAGTTAGTTTGTGCACACATTTATCTTTGATAATAACGATTTGTGAGGAATGTGGCAGCGTAAGGCAATCCATCATTCTATTTCGTTCCGTCTAGCCGTAAGGGGCGACTGAGGGAAGTAGCGTTTACTCCAGACGTAAAATATTCGGACCGGCGGGCGCGGCGGTGGGTCGAAAACGCAAAACGTCTGGTAACTGTGGTAATCAATCAATAACAATCCGACAGCTAAGCGTGATGATTAAAGAAAATCCTTCTTAAACAGTTAAAGCCCCAAGTTAAGCAGTGGACTATGGATCGGCAATTGAGTAGTTCTAACAATAAATATTACGATGAATAACACAAAATGGAGATTTAACTAAAATACTGCCAAATCTTATTGTTTTTTTTTAATGGAATAAGGGTGACAAACGAGCACCTGATGGTAAGTGGTTGCTGTGGCCCATAGACATCTATATCTATCTTCGTTTGCGAATAAAATGCAGATACGTTGTCAGCCGTGAGGACTAAGATGGAATGCCCCTTTTCCAGTAAAAAGGGTCTCCGGTTCTCTACACTCACCATACGAAACACAGCAGTGTTAAGTTGCTATTTTACGCTGGTATTCTGTGAGAGCGTGTTCCTACCCCGGTCGAGCCGACCCATTCGTGATACAACTGTACTATTAATATAGCTTTAGCATGGCTCTACCACGTATAAATACGATTTCGTGTAAAAAGTAATAATCATATCGAAGTTAATATGTAGAATGCGTCAATTTATTTCGAACATTAACAATTTGGAAGGAAAGCTACTCTATTCTATTAAATTCGGGCAAAATATGAAATTTTTTTACTGTCTACCCGTGAAATGATTGTAAGTCTCAGTCTAATGAAAGAAATAGTAGATGAAAACAAAACAAGCACATACACAGAGTATGAACTGTTATAAATATCTCTTTTGACGTTGAACTCGGCCTGAATGTTAGACAACGAGACAATCTGACACGTAGCGCTTGCGTGCCAATGACGTTAGTTTAGTCTCAATATCTCATTCATCTGAGATTTCATAATGAATAAATAAAATTTTCATCAGTTACAACTTTTGAGGAATTTGTTGACGTAACTAGATATATAATTAGTGCATTTTAGTCATCATCATCCTAATTATCATCGTCATTATCACATTACCTATCAAAAGTCCACTGCTAATCATAGCCCATCATCATATGAGGTTGTAAATTTGTCTATTAGAATGGTTTAGAAATAACAAAAAGTTTAATTACATTGATATATATATATATACGCCATTTTGTTCGATAACTTGTTGCCATCTTGTAGGTAGTGACATACATCTTTTTGATCAAAAAATGTGACAAGTAGTTTTGACAGTCCTCTCTTCATGTTAACCTAACACTACTGAAACAGGTGAAAATTAACACTTCCCAATCGAGCTCTCTAAATTTTTGTTGAGTGACCAAAGATGTGTGTGGTCTGGCGTTATCATAATAAAAAAAACCACTCCTTTTCTGTTGCCCAATTCCGGCCGTGTTTTCTCAATTTCTTGCTTGAGTCTCGTTAGTTTTTTGACAGTAGTCCGAATCAATGGTTTTGCTTATTACACCGGAAAACGCTTATTTTATTAAAATTCCCGAATTCAAAAGCCAACCACCAACCAGAAAACCAACTTTGTGCAACTCTTACTAACACCGCATTAGGTCCATAAAGGTGACAACTTTTTTTCGCGGCTTGAGTCGCATTTTCCCTTTTTAGTATTAATACTTCAGAATATATTGAATTTCTTCGTTAGATTCACTCATTTTGACGGACAGAAAAACAATTGAAAAATGGCGGGTGACTTTTTTTTTACTATAAATTTTTATTTTTCTTAATTTCCTATATGTGTTTATATTAACACCAGCCAGATTTAATTTTATACAAACAAAATACGAAGAAACTTTTTGCTCGACCTATTTTGTTATGGGTTTTTGGTGGAGTGGATGTATAAAAAAATCAAATACCCCGTCCCATCTCGTAGGTGTAATAAAATATGACTAAGGCAAATGCCAGAAAGTGCTTGTGGCCACCGGTTGAGAGCAGTATAACCATTACATACGAGTATTGCAGACGGAATTTCAATCACGGCGGCCAGTATCAACAGGACAGAATTGTAGTGCACTAGTGTGTGTACCAGTATAGGTACAGGTGTTTTATTGCCCGACCTTCATAATCCGATGAGACGGCAATCCGACATGAAAGGAGAAAGATCGGGCACTGAACCAACTACTTTGACCCGACCCAGGATTCGAACTCAAGGCCATTTTCCATTTGGTGAACAGTCGCGAACCACTGGATCAAGAGGCATTCTCATATTTTATACTAGGTGCAAATCTCCCAGACCGAAGTAGCGTCAAAGGTGTGTCTATGATTACAATTGCGAAAACAACTGACAGGTTAGCAAACTTTAACCACTATGCGTGAGGCCTATTTCCAACAATGGACTGTTTAAGGGCTGATAAGGAGGATCAAATTTATTCTATCGTAATATTTCATGTTAGAACTCTTCAATTGATATATTCGTTTGTTCTACTGTCACTTCGTCGACTCATAAACGTTCAAAGCTAGACATGAACCTAAGTTGAGCTTAGCTGAATGTACCCGTGGTTAATCTTGATATTGGGAGGCTGAACACCCGTAACCATGCTTCCTGCGAAGTACTTGAAATGTTGGGTATATTAAAATAAGTTATTTAAATTGCTATAATATCTGTAAAATACAAGTTTCATTCAATGTGTATTGTTGCTTAAATAGTATTGCATCATATTTCATCTACATTGATTGTATAGATAAAAAATCGATATAAATATGCGATTTTTAATTAAATTATTGATAATAGATTGACAGAGTCAAAGAGAAGTTTCTGCAAGCAGTACTCCGTCAGGACATCACGTGGTACGACCTTAACACGACCATGAACTTCGCAACTAAGGTGTCTGAGTAAGTATTAAACTTTATCGAAGCCGTGTAGTGGCGGTGTAAGAATATCCTCTACCTCATATCGTCCCTAGGGTATCGTTAGAGGCGACAGAGGGAAAATTAAACAGGTGATGGGCAGCAGCATCTTCCTGATAATAACTCAAAATAATAAAAAAAAGTGTGTGTGTCAGCTCCGACGCACGACTGGAGTTTACTCCTTACAAACGATTATATATGAAATTTAATATCAAAACTACGCAAGTTGACAGTTGGTTGACAGTTGTTATTTGTTTATATAAAGAGTAGTACAGCCAATAGTACTCCGTGCTGGGGGCTGCGCTAGGTAAGTTGCGCACGACATTGCATAGTCATGGAAACATGAATACATAGCGTAACGCATGACGTAACGTTTGATTATACTCCCCATAAATATTCCCGGGCGTATATATGAAAATTGATTCTTAAGGAGTAAACTCCAAAAACTATGGTTGCCAACCCGCTTTCCAAGCGTGGCTACTATGGCAAAATCCTCCCATGAAGCAATCTATGAGGGAGGCTTATGGACTTTTATAGGCTGCAATGGATAGATGGAATTGATATTTTAGCTTCTACCCATAGCTCCCGCGGGCGTGATAACAGAAACTCCTTCGTTATTATTCTTTATAAAAATATATGTATATACGTGGTAGAGTCATGCTGCAACTACATTATGATTGTAGCACGAATGTATCGGCTCGACCGGAGAAGGACCACGCTTTCACAGAATACTAGAATAAAATACTCATACTCTATTACATAGACCTCCTACCTATAGATTGCGTCATAGGGGGGATTTTGTAATACTAGCCACGTTTGGCAAGCGTGTTGGCAACCGCAGTTTTTTATAATTTTGAATTGTTATCAGTAAAACGCTGCTGCCCATCTCCTGGTTTGTTTCCCTCTCTTGCCTCTTGCCACTTCCACGGGAGTCACGGGACGATATCAGATAGTAGATATTCTTGCAACGCCACTACACGGTACATATACATACTGCATATACTTATAGGAAATTAACAGCCTCAGAAATGTTCTACAGTTAGACACAGGAGTTATTTCTACGCTTTGAGCGTAGTTAAGTGAACTGAGCGTAGCAGCCCTGTGTTTCGATGGACTTCGCACGACTGCATGCTATTAAGGCTTTATTTAAACATATAAATAAAATTTAAGTATATGACTGTAATATAAAAAAATTGTCTTCATTTAAACTCGGGGGGGTCATTTTGTGTTTAGACATGAATAACCATTTTCAAAATGTTTGTCTGTCTGTCCGGGCTAATCTTCGGTGTGGCTCTATCGATTGTAATGAAACTTTACCAACGTAATATCTGTCGTAACTGTACTGTGAACGTAATTCTGTTAGAGAAATGCCAGGGGATATCCGAAAAATTTGGGAAATTTCAAATCGTAAAATTTATAAAATGGTCTTTGATGATTATTTTAAATGTTAAACGCCACATTAATAAATCCTGCCTAGCCGGGCAGGAAGCCGGGTGTTGATAGTTACACCTTGGTGGAATAAAGATTAGATTATTAAATATAAGATAATAATAAAAACTTAATTTCCACAGTGATGTGGAAAAGTATCGCGAAGGTATCGGTGAGAAGGTGGCGATGTTTGTGTACCTTGTGATGTCGTTCGTCACCGCCGTGCTTATCTCACTGGCGTACGGCTGGGAGCTCACTCTAGTCATCCTCTCCTGCGCACCCGTCATTATAGCCACTACTGCTGTCGTGGCTAAAGTAAGTTGTGTACACCAGTTTATTTAAAAATATATTGTGATTATTAAAATTTATCATCATCATCATCATTACAGCCCTTCACAAGTCCACTGTAGAACATGGCCTCCCCCAAGGAACGCCACAAAGAACGGTCCCGAGCCACTTGCATCCATTGACTTCCTGCATGTCTTACCAGTTTGTCACTAACGCTGTTTCTTCTGCATATCAATGATATGTTGCTAACTGGTAACATTCATTGCTATGCGGATGACAGCACTGGTGATGCTCTATACACCGGCCGTGCCAATATTTCTCGGGAAAACGTCGCTGAGTACCGGAACAAACTTGTGTCTGAAGTCGAGTCTTTGCTGAACAAAGTCTCGGATTGGGGGCGACTAAATCTAGTCCAATTTAATCCTCAGAAGACACAAGTTTGCGCGTTTACCGCTAAAAAGAACCCCTTTGTCGTATCTCCTCAGTTTCAAGGCACTCCCCTTCTTGCCTCAGCCAGTATCGGTATCCTCGGAGTCGACATATCGAGTGACGTGCAGTTTCGTGGTCACTTGGCGTGCTCAGCAGAGCGGGACAGTATTTCATGCCGGCACACCGCCTGCTACTTTACAAGGCGCAAGTTCGGCCTCACATGGAATACTGTTCCCATCTCTGGGCAGGGGCTCCCCAGTGCCAGCTCCTTCCACTTGACCGCATCCAACGCAGAGCGGCTCGAATTGTCGACGACCGAGCCCTTTCCGATCGGCTCGATTCATTGGCACTGCGAAGAGATGTTGCATCCCTTTGCATTTTCTTTCGCATCTACCATGGGGAGTGCTCTGAGGAATTGTTCGGATTAATCCCAGCCGCCAAATTTCACGAACGCACATCGCGGCAGAACTCCCGATACCATCCACACCATCTGGATGATTGGCGGTCCACCACTGTGCGATTTAGAAGATGTTTTCTTCCTCGCACGACCTCCTTGTGGAATCGATTACCATCTGCGATTTTTCCGGACCGATACGACTTAGGGACCTTCAAGAAAAGAGCGTACTCCTTTTTAAAAGGCCGGCAACGCATCTGCGATTCCCCTGGTGTTGCAGTTGTTCATGGGCGGCGGTAGTCACTTACCATCAGGTGAGCCGCATGCTCGTTTGCCCCCTCTCCTATAAAAAAAAAACTTCATCTAGTAGGGGAACGCCCTACACTTCGCCTGCTGGTACGAAGCTGCCACTTGAGAACGTTTCTTCCCCATCAGTTGTCGGTTCTTCGAGCTATATGACAGGCCCATTGCCACTTCATCTTACTAATCCGTTGGGCTATGTCGGTTACTCTGATTCTACTGCTGATATTCTCCTTTTTAAGTCTATCACGCAGAGAAACCCAGAGCATAAAAACTTCTGCATAGCTCGCTGATGACCTTGAGTTTTTTCATACGGCCAGTAGTGAAGGACCACGTCTCAGATCCATAGGTCATCATTGGCAACACGCACTAGTTGAACAATCTTGCTTTGAGGTTTTGAGGTAAAATTTATACACGTGACTATTTCCAATTACCGAAAATTTATTAAATAAAATTACACGTACCAGGTCCAATCGTCACTGACCACTCAAGAGTTAAAAGCCTACAGTATCGCAGGCGTGGTGGCTGAAGAAGTTTTGTCGGCTATTAGAACAGTCGTCGCTTTTGGAGGTGAAGAAAAGGAAATAGAAAGGTAAAGGAAGATATATATTATGTAAATTTAATAACAAAATAAAGAAGAGTTATTGGAGAAAAATAATTAAAAAATTTGTACAACTGAGTTCAATATAAATTATTAAGAATAACTCATAAACTATTGGTCAGACCTTAATCAAATTTATATGGGATCACATGGGGAAGCACCAGCTTTTAAACAAAAAAAGGATCATCGAAATCAGTTCACCCAAAAAAAGTTATGAGGTAACAGACATAAATAAGAACATGCAGTGGAATTACCGTAATTATCCTTTTTGAAATCGGTAGAAAAATATATGGTATTTGAATTTTTTTGAAATTTGGTACGAGAAAAAAGCTCCATTAAATAAAAAAAATAAAAAATAAATAAAAATAAATATACCTTCTCCAAACGATTGATTATATTTTATTTATTGTAGATATTCAGTTCGTCTGGAGCCAGCGAAGAAAACTGGCACAAGAAAAGGAATCTATTCAGGCATAGGAAGTGGGCTCATGTGGCTGATTATATACATGACGTACGCTCTTGCATTCTGGTATGGTGTCGGACTGATCCTCGAAAGCAGACAGGAAGTTGTTCCCGTATATACGGCGGCAGGAGTGATGATTGTGAGTATTATTGTGGATATGTTTTTATTTTTTATGGAAAGAAGTTGCAACTAGTGTCAGAACTCAAACTTGTATCAAAGTAAGTTTGTGAGCGGTCAACTGTAGGACATCTCTTTTTTACGTTATCGCCACACTAAACTGGAACTTTGGTAACTTTTTGGTTACCATCACCATTTAAGGACAATCATGATCATAGATTTAGTATATACTTACGTTAGATTGGCAATGTAAAAGAGAAAGGGAATAGCATATTCTTACGTTAGAACGAGATAGAATGGCTAGACCATACGTACACGCTATAGGCCTATATCGGGCAGACGTCAATCGTTAACGAAACTATTCCCGCTTAGTTTCGTAATTAATATCTTTGATTTTGAAGTATTAATAAGTTTTTAAAAGGTGTGATTAAATATGGCGACGTATGCAGTACCTGAATGCAGTTCATCGCGAAAAGAAAATCCACAAAATTATACATTTCACACGTAAGGACAATTAAAATATTTAGCACTTTAAATGCAATAATTTATAACTGGTACAAATGTTTTAGACATAAATGGATAGGGAAAAATATCGCATTTTATTACGATAATGGTCTAAATACGTAATAATTATATTGAATTTTTTTTTTGTTGAATTGATTGACACTATCAATATCATCTTATCGATAATATGTTTGTAACAGGCAAAGGCATATCTTTGGATGCAACCTCTTGTAACTTCATAATTTTTTTAATTTTTAGGGTTCACTTACAAACATGAAGAACGTAGGTGGCCTAGTTTATCCCTCTCAAGACGTTTATGAGATAGGTATTCATTCTGAACGAGTTTTCCGAAAGGAAAAATTGTAAACGAAAATATGTTTCGAAAATTATATAACCGAATGCCTTGTCGTGCAAACATACTTGACATATATATGTATGATTCGCCAGCAATATCAAATCATAAATACTTAATTATTAAATTAATAATCGAAACTTATTTAATTATTAGTTTGAAGTATGAAGCAAAATTGCAAATACCTCTAAGAAGAGCTTACGACATTTTTACAATAAAGTAGTTATTTTGGAAAATAAACATTACAAATTTTTTGTTTGTAGTTTTATTTTTATGCCCTCAATCATAAAAATATTCATTTTACGACACGGACACAGCGCTCTGTATCGATAATTGAAGTTGATGCATGGTACAGCCCTATTCGTCTCGCACACATGCACATTTCACTCACACCGGTACATTTCGTTTTTGGTCTCACTCACCCTAATCACTACATCGCCGTTACATAACTTTTATTTTGCGAAATCGATTTTCTAATACTGTCTCGTTTAAACGTTCGATATCTCGCATTCGATTTGATTCCAAATTGAAATTGATGTAAATATGAAAGCTATGATACATGTTTTTGCAAATTGTTTTTGTTTTCCCGCCGTTTTTTATTAGGTTAATAAGGGTCACAAACGAAAACACAGTCCGTCTTATGGTAAGAGGATGCTAAGGCGCATAAACATCTACAATAATTATCTTTAATTAATCACGAAAAAAGCTGTAAACTTATTTGGATGGGACTTTCACTGGCAGATAGCTGATGTTATGAGGAGTAACTTGGGCTACTTTTATTTTAGGAAAAGCATTAGGGTACCGGGCAAGAAAATTACAACCCATGAAACCCATTCGCAATAAATTCTACGTGGGCGAAGTTGCGGGGAACAGCTAGTAAATAAATAATGCTTAAATGTTTTCATCGTCATCATCAGCCTGTTAAAGCCACAGCTGGACTTAGAACTCTTCCGGTATATGGAAGATTTGCCAACGTCAAGCTTAGCAGGCGGATTGAGCATTGCAGCATCAGACGTCTCGCACTTTCCACGCTAAAACCACTCGCCGGTTAAGTAATTGTACGTCTGGTGAACGAGATAGTTATATTGCCATCTATCGGAATACAAGATATTTGTCTGTCATTTCCCATAGCCGCTTTTCACGCTCCTACACCACCACACGGCAGACGGCAGTTTAATTTAGGTTTGACTTTTTTGTATTTAAATGTGATTCTTTGTTTTTAAATAGATTTTCTTCAGTGTACTCCAAGGAGCTCAGAACGTCGGTCTAACTTCACCTCATATAGAAGCTATGGCAAACGCGAGAGCTTCTGCTGCCTCCATATTTAATGTCATAGATAGGAAGCCTGTTATTGATAGCCTGTCAGTAGAGGGAAGCAAACCTGAACTAGACGGAGAGCTAGAGCTGAAGGACGTATACTTCAGATATCCTGCTAGGCCTGATGTTCAGGTAACATAAGTTTTATACTTAGTAAGCTTATAGATGTATGTACATTATTTATATTTACTTCGAAACCTCCTACTCAGTCAAGGTTAGACAGACCTTTCCAATTCACGACATAGCTGTAATATTACAGTGATAAGTCCAGTTTTCATAATGATTTCTTTTATTCAATTATTATTTTATAATCTTGTTCGTGTTTACGGATAAAAACTGCGTGCAAAGATGTTTGATCTTACTTTTCTACACAACATAATTTTAAGTAAGAAGGCTTGTTCAAGTCGTGGGACTTTTGGCTGTCTAAGGCAAAGGGATAATCTTACATCCGGATTAACGAATAAGCAAAGTAGGCAACTGTCTTTAGACACGCGTGGCTTAAGAGCCCTTTGGTTTTAGAAAAAAAAAATTGCGTGATATAGAAAGATCGTTAGAGGAGGGCTCGACACTCGCATTGCAAAGGGGACTCTGTTTCAGCTCGGGGAGCGGCCAACGCTTCGTGAGGTAGCACGGAGCTTGTTTTAAAAACCTATATAATATGCACATTGGTTTGGAAACTATCACAGCGTTATTTAAGGGTTTGGTTTTTTTGTTGGGTCTGTACACGGTATTGCAGTGTGATGATAGCGTCGCCAGGCCATTTGCAACAAATCTGTCTTTCTTTCTTCTTTTTTTCTTTTTTCAAGCCACTACCGACTATATAGACTAATAAGGTAATTAATAGAATTAATAGAATCAGGCGTTACTTTGCGGAAATCCATTATATAAAAGCTTTTAGAAAAATTTACTTCGCAAATATCAGCGTTATAAAATAAAATGATGTGTCTTACCTAAGTACGCTAAGTACGGCTAGCCACCGTAGAGTCTATATCACCTGAGGATGCCTCGTGTAGAGGCGAAACACGTGTCGTATTATCGTCAGTGGTGTGTCTTGCCTAGTGTAGTGGTGTTGGGAGTAGCGGTGCTGGGATTAGTGGTGATGGGGATAGTGCACGCAATTGAGGGAGGGCGGGGGGTGCTCTTCATACTAGGTAAGACACATCGTTTTATTTTATAACGCGGATATTTGCGAAGTAAATTTTTCTAAAAGCTTTTATGTAATTAATAGAATTAGGCGTTACTTCGGAAATCCATTATATTTAATTTTTTAAGAATTGAATATGCTAAGATCTACGTAATAAATTAAAATGATGTGTTTTACCTAGTTTGAAGAGCGCCTTCCTCATATTGTAGTGGTGTTATAAGTAGTTCTGTTGGAATTAGTTGTGATGGGGATTGTACTTGTAATAGAGTTGTTTTTTGATTGGGGTTTAAATAGAGTAATGAAATACGTCCTCTCTTGAATGCGTTTTATTTGCAACTGTCTATAATAATGTGCACAAATGATAATATGGGTATAACATCCTAAGACATTCACTTCTAAGACATGCGTACGCTAAATTGAATTCTATGCCACAGACATACCGCCCACCAAAGGACGACTGTCCTTTATAAAGAAGTTATAAACATTAAATTTACAAGTAAAATTGTTAATACTATTTTACAAATTTCAGAGGCTAACAAAGGTAATGCACTTAACATAGTATCAAAATATAATACCATTATCATTAAACAATATAGAAGGACTTATCACTGTATTAAAAATAAAAATTAAACGTATTGTAAACAATAAAGTATGACTTATCACTATCTTATAAAAAATTTAAACATAATGTAAACAATAAAGTGTGTCTTATCATTATTCACTATCTTATGAATAAATTAAACATGATGAGAGCAATAAAGTATGACTTATAAATCGAAAAATACATAGAACTTAAGATTAACTTTTTTTTTTTTACATTGAGATATTAATTGCTAATTGCGATATACATTTATTTAGATTCAATGGGCAAAGCACACAATTTGGAAATTGAGCGTTTTAATATATTCGTGCCACATTTAACACCATATACTCGGGCTATACCATCCGGTCCTGGGTACTTCTCCATAATCCGACCGAGTAGCCACTTCCCTGGTGGCAAGTTGTCATCTTTGAGGAGAACTATATCACCTATTTCATACTCTGACTCACGTTTTATCCATTTTGTCCTTTCTTGGAGTCGTGACAAATATTCTGTATGCCAACGTTGCCAGAAATCTCTTACTATTTTCTGAGTAAATTGCCATCGTGTGAGTTTACTTGCGTTGATGTCACGTAAGTCTGGACTTGGTGGCAATATGGGAGCTTCACCAATTAAAAAGTGACCCGGTGTTAATGGGTCTATGACGTCTACGTCTTCAGTGTCGATAGGTACCAAAGGGCGGGAGTTAAGGCATGCCTCTATCTGACATAACACTGTCGTCATTTCTTCTTGTGTTAAGTTTCTCGTCATAATTCTTCTAAGGTGGTATTTCGTAGATTTTACGCCGGCTTCCCACAAGCCACCGAAGTTGGGGCTATGAGGAGGTATGAAATGCCACTGAGTTCCGTCGAGAGCTAATGTGTCTATCAGATAGCCAGGGATTTCTAAACGTGCCTGCTTCCAGGCGTCTGCTAAATCTTTATTTGCTCCTACGAAATTCCTTCCCTGATCACTCCATATATGCGAACATTTGCCTCTTCTAGCAACAAATCTATGAAAGGCTCCTATGAAAGATTCAGCGGTGAGGTCTCCGACTAATTCTAAATGTATGGCTTTAGTGGCCATGCATACAAAAATGGCGATGTATGCTTTGCTTGTCTTGGCGCCTCTCCCCTTAGAAAGCAAAATTTGCAATGGACCAGCAAAGTCCACTCCGCTGTGGAGAAACGGTCGGGCTGGAGTCACTCGTGCCTTTGGAAGTTCACCCATGATTTGAGTCCTTATGGCAGCCCTTTGTCTTGCACATACTATACATTTTCGTATATAAAATTTAATCGCATTCTTAGCTCGAATGATCCAGAATCTATTCCTAAGATAGCAGAGCATGAGTTGAATACCACCGTGTAGGGTTTTCTTGTGTGCATCTGCTATTAACAAAGAAGTCAAATGATTGCTTGAGCTCAGTATGATTGGATGTTTTTGTTCTTGTGTTAATTCCGATCTTTGGAGTCTTCCGCCCACCCTAAGTATATTTTGAGTATCAAGAAAAGGGTTTAATGATTTCAAACTACTTCCTTTTTTTACTCTTCCTTTCATTCGTATATTTTTTATATCTTCTTCGTATTCTCTTTTCTGAACAATTCTTACACATTTTAATAAAGCATTTTCATATTCTTCAGTTGTAATATTCTTTCTTATTTCGTCAGGTTGTTTCTTACTATTAATAAATCTTGAACAATAAACTACAACTTTTAAGAGTTCTTGTAGTGAATCAAAATTTTCTAATTTAATTCTCTGTTTCTTTGTTTCTGTTTTTAAATTCACCTGAATATTTTTTTTTCTTTCTATATCAGTCGGTATCAAATTTGGTCTTGAGTATTCTATGTTTTTCTCCTTCAGCCAAGCAGGTCCTTCCCACCACTGTTTACATTGAATAAGTTGTTGTAAATTCATTCCTCTTGATCCAATATCTGCTGGATTATCATTCGTTTTTACATGAAACCATTGAGTATTGCAAAGATTGTCTAATATTTCAACTACTCTGTTACTAACGAACGGTTTCCAACGGTTCGGATCTCCGAACAACCATGAGAGTACAACCGACGAATCCGTCCAAGCAAACACTTTGGTAGGTGATAATCTCATAGCTTCTCTTATGTGTGTTAACAACCTTGCCAAAATAACTGCCCCACAAAGCTCAAGCCTAGGTAATGAAAGTGGTTTTACAGGGGCGACTCGTGTTCTCGAGGCAATAATATTCGTTTTAATTTCTCCTTTATTATTTGCTATTCTGCAATATACTACTGCGCAATAGGCTTTATTTGAAGCATCACAAAAACCATGAAGGGTTACGTTTTTGCTGTCTTCACATTCTGTGTCTATCCATCTGGGAATTTCCACGTTTTTTATTTGTTTAAAACTTTTTCTCAATATTAACCACTCTTTCTCTAAATCTTCATCTATTTTATCATCCCAATCAAGGTTTTTTAGCCATAGTTTTTGTATTAAAATTTTTGCTGGAATTATGCTTGCACCAAGCCAACCTAACGGATCAAAAAGGCGTTGAATGTCTGCCAAGATATTCCTTTTGGTTATTTCTTTTGGTATCGGCGGCAAATTGAGCTGATAATGAAAAGTGTCCATACTCATGTTCCATGCTAGACCGAGTGCTTTAATGGTGCTGTCGCTTTTTATATTAATACTGGCCTTAGAACTTCTCAATTCCGAATTGATTTGACTTAAGAAGTTTTTATTATTGGATGCGAATTTATGTAATTTAAATCCTCCTTTTTTGAGTATAGCTTGAAGCTGCTGACCAAGTTTAATGCAATCCTGTTCTGTCATCGCACCGCTCATACAATCGTCTACATAAAAATCTTCTCTTATTACTTTAGCTGCTTCTGGATAATTTTTTTCTTCATCTTTTGAGAGCTGCACAAGCGTCCTAACTGCAAGATAAGGCGCAGATTAAGTCCCAAATGTTACTCTTTTTAAACGATACATTTTTAGTTCTTCTTTGTTACTTTTTCTCCAAAATATTCTTTGACAATCGGTATCTTCTTTCGTCACTAGGATTTGTAAATACATTTTTTGGATATCGGCTATAAAACATACTGGCTTCATACGCCATCTGATTATCAAACTTCTTAAATCTTCTTGTAATTGTGGACCAACGAGTAATTCATCATTCAGTGATTTATTGTTCGCTCCTTTGCAAGATGCGTCAAACACTACTCTGCATTGTGTTGTTTCTTTGTCTTCTCTTATCACTGCATGATGTGAAAGGTATATTGATGGATTATTTCTTTCCTTATGTGGTATTTCTTCTATATATCCTAACTTAATGTATTCTTCAATTACTCTTATATAATCTTGTTTGAGCGTCTTGTTTAGATTTAGCCTTCTTTCTAGTAAATAAAATCTTTTAAGTGCAATTTCTTTTGTTTCTCCTATTTCTTCTAAGTAATTAACATTTTTAAATGGTAGTTTAACCATATATCGACCATCTGTTGTTCTTGAATGTGTGGCAGCGTAAATGTTTTCACATAATCTTTCTTCGGCTGTGAAATTTCTTTTTTCTGTAGTCTCTATATCCCACATATTTCTTAACATGTTATCTACGTCAACATGATGATGCATTACTATGATGTCTTCAGAAGATGAAGTATTTGATATTTCTCCAAATAGTATCCATCCGAAGCTGGTTTCTTGTGCACTTGGAGTACCTGGTGGACCCTTGATAACATTGCCTTTTAATATTTCTGTATATACTTCAACTCCTAACAGCGCATCGATTCTTCCTGGTGTGGCAAAATGAGGATCAGCTAAAGTAAGTTCTTTTAAATGTGTCCAATTGTTCATCGGTTCTATTGTCTTACAAGGTAGCTTTGTAGTCAATGGTGTAGACAAAACGTACGCTTTAACATTGAGTTTAAATTGGTTTTCGTAGTTTGATAATACTTCAAAACACACCACATGACTTATTGATGTTTTGGTAGAACCAACTCCATAAATAGTGCCATGTACCCTTTTTCTTTTGAGTTGCAAAAGTTGTATTGCTCTCTCACTAATGAAAGACGCCTGCGAACCTGGATCAATTAGTACTCTCAACATAGTGACATATCCTGTGTCACTTTTAATCGGTATTAAAGCGGTAGCCAGTAAAACATTTTTAGTATTGGACGTAAAGTGTGAAGCTATTGATACATCCGATTCTTCCTTCTCAGTTTCTTCTACATTTGTGTGTAAAGAGTTTAACCCTGGTGAATGTTTGTTTTCTTCTTTATCAAAGGTCACCTCTTTCTTCTTGTAAGAATGTAGAAGTGAATGGTGACGTTTACCACATACACGACATGATGTTTTTTGCTTGCAGTAATATCCTGGATGACCAGTTGACAAGCAGTTGTAACACAAACGCTTTTCTTTTACATACTCACTTCTTTTTTCAGGATCTAATTTGCCAAATTTTTTGCAGTGACATAAGAAATGGTTTTCATTGCATAGAACACATTGAACAGTAGTAGCAGCGGCGCTGATGTGATACGACCTTTGAACCTTCTCCCTTGACGTGGATGTTAATTCAAGTGTATGAATTCTATTTTCCAAAAAACTTACGAAATTATCAAATGTTGGCATATCCTTTGGATGTCCACTGCTTACATAAGTTTCCCAATCTCTGTGTGACTCTTGATCTAGTTTTAGGATTGATATATATATTAATAACGGATCCCAGGAATCTGTCTTAATATCTAAATTATTCAAGCTGTTAATAGATTCTTTTGTATTATCAATTAAAACTTTTAAATGAGCTGGTGATTGCGTATTTATTTTCTTCAAAGAAAATAATTTCTTTAATATTGCATTTACTATTAGTCGCTTATGACTATATCTATTCTTTAAGGCTTTCCACGCTGGTTCGTAATTTTTATCCGTCACTTGAAAATGGTTTATAGTATTTTTAGCTTCGCCTGCTACACACGACTTCAAATAATGTAATTTCTGTACGTCACTAAGGCTATTATTTCTGTCTATTAATGATATAAAAGTGTCCTCAAATGATTGCCATTCTTCATATGCACCGAAAAAGGTAGGTAGATTTATTCGGGGCAGCTTTACGTCAACAACGGGTTTTTCACACATCGGCGAAGTTGAAGGGTTTGTATTATTCCCAGTATTGTTTTTGATATCATTTAACATGTCCACCATATCCCCTTTCAAACAAGTAAACACTTCTTCACACTTGTCATACTCGCTATTTACAAAATGAGATATTTTTTGTCTATCGTTCTTCGATGTTAGTTTCAATAAGTTTTGATGCGCCGCACGATATGATACCCAATACTCTTCAATGCATTGAATCTTTACTTCTAAATATCCCTGTGTTATTCTTGTTTTAGGACATTTTTTAAGATTAATCTGAGTTTTGTTAATTTGATTATAATATTCTTCTAATTGTTCGATTATTTCTTCCACTTTTGACATTATAAATTACTCACAAAAGATATAATTAAGCTTCACAAAATATCACTGCAATGTTCGTTGTTATTCACTTTTATATTACTTGTTGTTCTTTATTAGCGCAGGTAAGCGTCCGACACCCGTATTCAAGAACGATACTATGCGTACGCACAGTAGGCTTTAACCCACAGTGGACGAAATTTTGTTTCATAAACGTTACTTGAGTGTTGGACGACACTATGCAACTAATTAGGGACACCCTTGGCTAAAGTTACCCATTAGCTACTTTAACGAACGCATAGGGTCGGCGTAAATGTCATATTCATAACCTCAAAATAATAAAGCATAAGTTATTACTTATATATAAACTATACTCCATGATATAAACTTATAAACTATTGTTTGTCTTTTGTGTATTTTAGTACTACCTAGTTAAAATAAAAATGAGTGGTAGTGATGAGGAATTTGATAATTACTTGGACGAACAAGTGAATCGCCAAGAAAGCGTGACAATAAGGCGTGTTATCAGAGATTTTCAGAACCCTTTCGAATATTATAGTGAAGTGGAATTTAAACAGCGATATAGATTTCGCAAAGAAACAGTATTAAACGTACTTATGCCGCTAATTTCTCACAATCTCGAGAAACTTACAAAAAGAGGACTACCAATTCCCCCAGTGTACCAGTTGCTAATTGCACTCAGATTTTATGCCTCAGCCAGTTTTCAAATTATCAGCGGCGACCTTATTAGTGTTAGCCAACCAACCGTTTCAAGAATCGTCAAAAGAGTGTCCTATTTGATTAGTTTGCAAATAAAACGGTACATAAAATTCCCAGAAAACAGTGAATATACAAAACTAAAATTTTACCAGATTGCGCAGTTTCCTGGAGTAAGAGGATGCATAGATTGCACACATGTTGCTATCCAAAACCCTGGAGGAAATTTTGCTGAAGTTTTCCGTAACAGGAAAAAATTTTTCTCCATAAATACACAACTTGTGTGCGGCCCTGAATTAGAAATATATGACATTGTAGCTGACAGACCAGGTTCAGTTCATGATAATCGTATATTTCAAGCAAGTACATTAAAAGCAAAGCTGGAAGGAGGAGAAATTGATGGCTTGCTTTTAGGTGACAGTGGTTATGGTTGCCAAACATATTTACTGACACCAGTTCTACGGCCAGAATCAGATGCTGAACAAAATTATAATAAAGCTCACATTAAGACCAGAAATACTGTTGAGAGAACTATAGGTGTTTGGAAAAGAATTTTCCCATGTTTGTCAAAAAAACTAGCGACAAATCTGACAACAACATGCCATGTAGTAGTAGCCACAGCCATTTTGTATAATATTTGTCGTTTGCATAATGAAATTGAGGAGAATATAGAACCACCGGTTATAAGAAGAATTGACAGAAGGAATGCCAATCCATCCAATAGACAGGGATTAGTTTTTAGGAGAATGTTTATTGAACGACATTTTTGAAATGTATTTCTGGTAGTTATATTTATTAATTTCATGTAAATAAAACAATTTTTACAGGGACTTTGAATAAATTAATTTAATTTTTTTTCCAATAATGCTATTTCTAACTTAAGTTTCTTGATTTCTAAATTGTTTTTTTCTATTTGAAATGTGGCTTGCTGTGACTCTTTTTCCAATAATATTTCTTCTTTTTTTATCAATATTTTTTCCCTCTGGACTCTCAATTTATGTAATTCTGAATCCTGCTCTATATTCTCCTTGCACCGCTTTACCCGCACTTGGACTTCACTGGAGAGCTTACCATTGTTATCTGAAATAAAATAAGTATAAATCTACAACATGTATTATTGAGATGAGTGTTTTGAAGTAGTAGTAGCTGGTAGTAATTAAAGACTTACTAATGGGCATAATTATTAATACATTAAAATCAATTCTAATATTACATTATAAGCAAGTGTGTCTGGCTGTTATCATTACATAGGTCAATTACATCAAATTATGTACACTTGTAAGTAGATAGTGTATGTAATGGAAAGCTAAAAGCTCCCTTGAACAATGAATTTATATTTGCCTACTTCATATCTCCGTCTGTACATAAAAAAATACATATTATACTTGTTCCTGTACCTGTTAATGTTTTTAAAGGAAATAATCCTCTTTTCCTCTTGCTTAATTTTAAACTTTCTATGACCTCATTATCTGCAAAAAAGGAAAAGTAAATACCCAAAATAAAGTAGCATGTACACAAAATAAGATATTTGAAATAATATCCAGATATAGTTTATCTTTTTGTGCATTCTATTCAATGTTTATTTTAAGTAACATTTTGACAATACTACAGAACTATATTACCATGTTGGTTTTCTTTATCTATTTTCTCTGGAGCATGTATTTCCACAGAACTCAGCTTTACTGTGAACAATAACAATAATGTTGCTTAAATTTCAAAAAATTCCATTTCTAATTTACAATATAACTTTGTCTCTGCTGTTTAATAGTAAGTAAAATGCAAGCTTTGTATAGAGTAGTGATGTAAACAAAACAAGAAATAAAGCTTCATCCTTAATTATGATAATTATGTAACAAATCTTTTACCTAGGACTTTCTCTTCTGTGTTTGAGTCAATGACTCCAGGTACAGTCAGATTTATGTATGGGCAAATACTGTCTATGACGTTTTCTGTAGTGCCCGCTTCACCAACTCCACCTCCAGTCTGTAATAAACTGCCGACTTCCATTGACAGCTCCTTCTTACGACAACTTTTTATGTTTTCCCAGCATCTCTTTAGCTGTAATGCCGTTCTCTTGACCACAAAAGGTACTGCATTGTAGGCATTTTCAATTTCGTCCCATGCCGCCCTCTTGAGCTCAATGTTTCGGGCATTTGTCTGTTTGTTTTCAATAATGGGACGTTCACTTACCAAACTTATGATTAGTTCTTTTTCGGCGGAGGAAAAAGCTATTTTTTTTGAGCTAAAAATTAAAATAATGTATGTTGAATGAATTATCAAAAAACACACAAAATAAACATTACTGAGGAAAAATATTTGAGTTACCATTTAGCACTGTTAGCCGGAGATATTATTTCCATTATCACAAAAATTCTACTTGGTATTTAAGCTAAATTTTACTTCAAATAGCGTATCGTATCTAACACAAGCCAGTTTGCAAAAATCAACACATTAATTGAGGTTATGTACTAATTGACATTTGACGCTTGAAAATTGAATAACTTGAAGCTAGCCCCGAAACCGACCAATCAAAACGCCGAATCCTTCCCTATGCATTCACTGAGTAAAGAAATACTTAAGTGTTGTCTATGAAACAAGTCGATGGACATATCCAACACTGTGAGAAATCGGACACTTCGCAGTGAGAGCCAGTACACTTAAATAAGGGTGGTTCTTGAATACGGGTGCGAGACTCGGGACGATGAACAAAAGCTGTTTACGACGATGTTAGCTCCTTACTTATCCGGCTCGATTGTGACCACTATGTACTTGTAATAGAGTTGTTTTTTGATTGGGGTTTAAATAGAGTAATGAAATACGTCCTCTCTTGAATGCGTTTTATTTGCAACTGTCTATAATAATGTGCACAAATGATAATATGGGTATAACATCCTAAGACATTCACTTCTAAGACATGCGTACGCTAAATTGAATTCTATGCCACAGACAGGGATAGTGCACGCAATTGAGGGAGAGTGGAATATACTGTTCCATCTCTTCAAAAAGTGCTCTCTTCAAACTAGTTAACACACATAATTTTATTTTAAATTTAATAATTTTTGACATGTTTAACTAAGATTAATAAGGGAGGTTGCATAAAGCGAAAGTGGTGCAGGTGCTGAACGGGCTGTCGCTGAAGATCAACCGCAACGAGACAGTGGCGCTGGTGGGCGCGAGCGGGTGCGGCAAGTCGACGGTGCTGCAGCTGCTGCAGCGCATGTACGACCCGGAGGCGGGCGCCGCGCTCGCGTCCGGACACGACCTGCGCGCGCTCAACGTGCGCCACCTGCGCTCGCACATCGCCGTCGTCGGCCAGGAGCCCGTGCTCTTCGCCGGCTCCATCAAGGACAACATACGGTCAGTCCGACGCGCGACGACCTGCCGCGGATACGGATATAAATGTGTCGGGGCTCTGAGACAGCAAATGAGTACGAAACACACGTGGTAGAGCCACGGTGCAGCAATGTTATGGTTGTAGCGCGAATGGGTCGGTCCGACCGTAGGAGGACCTCTCACAGAATATCAGCGTGAAATAGTAGCTTATTACTAATGTTTCGTTCGTGAAGTGTTCGTGAGTGTAGAGAACCGGGTACCCTTTTCACTGGAAACGAGGCATTCCATCTTAGTCCTCAGGAGTGACCACGCAACTGCATTTCGATTCTTAATTGAGGATAAATGCAGATGTCTATGAGCCACAGCATGCAATTTATTATTATTTAGGCAGACTGTGTACTTGTTGGTAACCCCTAGTCTTTTAAAAAAAAAATGTGTTGTAATAATTTTATTCTGGAACAAAGATAAAATGCTATAAACCTACATATAGAAAGAATTTATAATTTTAAACAATTTAAAAATTTAATTGAAAAAAATATTAAAAAAAACCAAAATCAATAGGTAATCTGTATTATAGTAGCAATCTCAGTTTCTTTTTGAGGACATTCCTATAAAAGTAAAGAAAGTAAGGATCCATGGAAAAAAATGGTTGCCAGTTGCCACAGTTTTTATGACGACGGTTCGAAGATGAAAACACAGTCTTCAGACTAGTATATTGTCGCTATAATTTACAATTAGCAATTTTATTATCTTCATAAGTTTGTGGCGGGCCACTTCTAGACTACGTGTTGTATGTGGTAGAGCCATGCTGCAGCTATATTAATAGTATAGTTGTAGCACGAATGGGTCGGCTCCACCGGGGAAGGACCACGCTCTCACAGAATACCAGCGTAAAATAGCAGCTTAATGCTGCTGTGTTTCGTATGGTGAGTGTAGAGCACCGGAGACCCTTTTTACTTGAAAAGAGGCATTCTGTCTTAGTCCTCACGGCTGACAACGCATCTGCATTTTAATTCGTAAACGAAGGTAGATGTAGATATCTGTGGGCCACAGCAAGCATTTACCATCAGGTGGACTGTCTGTTCGTTTGTCACCCTATCCTATAAAAAAAAACTACATACATAGTCACAGCAATTTTAAGTTTGAAATTAATATTCTTTGCAGGTTGAGTAATCCTGCGTGTACTGATGAAGAAATTATCGTCGCAGCTAAACAGGCGTACTGCCATCACTTCATTAAGAATTTACCTGACGTAAGTGCCTCTAAACAAAAATGGCGCCTAGGACACGCATTATAGTTGCGCCCCTTCGTAAATTATTTTTATATAAAAACATATACACCAAATAAAACTGACAAATATTACAAAACATATTTATTTTACAACGAAAGTAAATCCCGTGTAGTGGCGGTGTAAGAATATCCACTACCCCATAACTTCCCGTGGGTGTCGTAAGAGGCGATAGAGGGAAACTAATTGTGCTGTGATACTATAGGATTATCTGAGGTCCAAAGAGAGGGGGAGGACACGGTTATCCTCGAATCCGGCAACTTGTTCTATCACCGACGTCTGATTTCTCGTCCACAACGTTATAAAGATTGGGAGTGTGTTGACGAGGGTTGTATACCTTATAGGTACTCAGATTTACCAAACGGTATCAGTTGAAGGTCATACAGGCTTACGCACCAACCTCGTCACATCCTGATGAGAAAGTGGAGGAAATGTATGAGGATTGAGGATATCTCTAGAGCCATGTATTCCTCCAAAAGCATGATTCTTAATTAATTGTGCCTTGTTTTGCGTTGAAGTCCTCCATAAGCAACGATGTTTATGGAAGACTTCAACGCAAAACTAGGCACAATAGAGAACAGTGAGTTAAAGGTAAGGAAATTCGGGATAGGGTAACGGAACCCAAGGGGCAAGCAGCTGGCCGAATTAATGAAAAAAGAGCGACTCTTTACGATTCTCTTTATGAACTCTTTTATCCACAAGCGGCCTCTCAGAAAGTGGACCTGGTTGAGCCCCGACGGTTCGACAAAAAATGAGAACGACTTCATTATGACTACTAGATGACAACTGTTCAGTGACATCTCAATTATCGCGTGGGTGAAAACTTTATAAACATAAATTTCACAAGGACAAACATCCAGACTCGTAACAATTATTTGTAGACCATACAAACACTTGTTTCGTGTGGAATTCAAACTTTAACACTGTAACTCATTGCTAAGCCACTGCGCCACGGAGCCTTCTAGAATCTTTAATCTATGTCCAGTTGTTGAGATAATAGTCCAAGAGGCAGAGCCAAAAAAAGTCTCTGAATTTATTAAGCCTGGTTTTTTTCTCAGGTGATTATAATCATAATTTACAATAAAATGCTACGGTCAGTCAAGTGGATATTAAAACAGGTGTCTCAGTCTCAGGTGCGCGGTTCAACATGTCGTGATCATCGACATAATAAAATCAATTTCTTAAAGCTAAAACTTTATGAACTTTTGTTTTTTTTATATGTAAATCAAAATTATGGTAGTCAGTCAACGTCTTATGGGGACACAGCTGGTGAGTCAGCTGTAATGTACGTAACGAGGTTTATAAGGGTGCAATTCGTTTATTAGGCGTGAATTTTTTTTAGTAATTACTACTCCGTTTATAAAGAAAGAATACTAAGAAATATGTTGATTATAGTAACCTCTGTGAATAAGAAATAAAATAAAATCACTTTTATTAATATTGTTTTCTAATCTATCGCCGTGTAGTGGCGGCGTAAGAAAATTATTTTATAACTCAATAATAAATTTACACTTCAAAATAATAAAAATTTGAGCCATATACACTCACAGCTGGGCACTAATTTCTGAGAGAGTTTTAAGTTGATGCGTGTTGACGGAATTTACGTGTCTTTGAAATATTTTGTCATTTTTTATACTACTTATACTTCAGGATAACATAGTGAGGAAACCTGCATGGTTTCTTCACTATGTTGTCCGGAAGGACTTATCCTGAAGAACTTATCCTGAAGGATTTGTCCGCTTGTCGCTTTTTGTGAAATTGACAGCGCATAGCTTCCGAGCTATCATCGCTTCTTAATTAAAATTTGTATTTTATCTTGAGTTCTTCAAAATAAGGACCTTGACGCAAAGACAGATGGACAACGATGTTATCCTATGAGGGTTCCCTTTTAAGTATTTTCTATTGTTAGAGCCGGTAAATAAGAGTGAATTATATTATAATGGAATAGGTTAATTCGCTGAACAGTGACTATAAGATAATTAATATTGATTATTTTATATGAGTGCCTTCGATGTAAGGTTAGTCGCAGGCGCACGGCATATGTCGCTACCCCGTGACCTCCGTTTCGTGGTCGTCTTCTTTGTGTGTGGACAGGTATGGTTACCTCTTAAAGGAGAAACCGTGAGCTCGGTAACCGTGTAAGGAAATGATAAACTTTAACAGGGCTACGACACCATGATAGGGGAGCGCGGTGCGCAGCTGTCGGGCGGGCAGAAGCAGCGCATCGCGATCGCGCGCGCGCTGGTGCGGCGGCCCAAGATCCTGCTGCTGGACGAGGCCACGTCGGCGCTCGACTCGCACAGCGAGGCCAAGGTGCAGCGCGCGCTCGACGCCGCCGCGCACGGACGCACCACCGTCATGGTCAGCCACAGGTGCCTACCCCGCCTCTTCACATTTCAAAACTTCACTCACACCGTTACTGCCACAGGGATATTTGCCACTGTTGCCACGCTTTTCAAGCGGGTGGGCAACCACAGTTTTTTAATTTTGTTGTTATTAGTATGACGCTGCTGCTCATTTCCTGATTTGTTTCCCTCTGTCGCCTCTTGCGACACCCACGTTATAATATTATGGGATAGTGCATACTCGTAATCTTACACTACCACTATACTATACGGTACAAAAATACAATTATACGTGGTAGAGCCACGCTGTATATATCAGGTGTAGGTACTATCAGGTGAACTGTGTGCCCGCTTATCATCCATCTATAAAAACACATTTGGCACATACTACCTATTCGAGGCAAGGCCCATGGGAGAAAAAAAACTGTAATGGGTTACCACTGTTAACACTGTCCGAAGCCACCTGGATCACTTACCAGGTCGTCACGACTAGTGGAGGCCGCCCTACACTTCGCTCACCGGTACGAAGCTGCCACTCGAAACCTTTCTTCCCCGTCGGCTATCGGTTCATCGAGCTTTATAGCCGGCTCATTACCACTTCAGCTTACTAATCCGTTGGACTGTGTCGGCTATTCTGGTTCTACTACAAAGTCTATCGCGTAGAGAAATTCCGAGCATGAATCTCCATAGCCCGATGAGTGACCTATACGCTATACTACAATGCAATGCGTTTTATATTATAATTACTAATAGCACTAAATTTGTTCAGGTTGGCAACGGTGCTGAACGCCAACAGGATTGTGTTTATCGAAAAAGGCGAAGTCGTGGAACAAGGCACTCACGAAGAGTTAATGACACAAAGAGGCCGATACTACCAGCTTGTATTAGAAAACGAACCCAGCATAGCGCCCAGCGGATCTAATCCGGACGTACAGAAACGTGAGTAGATTTTCTACCGACTGCAAAAAGGAGGAGGTACTCAATTCGTATCTTTGTATCTTTTTTTATGTATGTTACCTCATAGCTTTTTTCTTGGTGAACCGATTTCGATGATTCTTTTTTATTGATGTAGTAAAAATGACGATGATTGAGTAAAAAGTTCCATTAACCCATTTCCCTCGCATAATTTTTAAACTGCTGTTATTGTGTCCCTCATATTACATAAATTGCTGGATTTATGTGATATGAGACACACATTAACAAAAATAAATATAATAAATAAAATACTTAGCAATAGTCTACAATATTTAACACTACTAGGATATGCAGGTTTCTTTTCATTTACAAAATGCAATAGAATTTATTTCGCCAAACGTATAGCACACTACTAACGGTTCATATTCAGGAATTATTAAACAAACAAATAGATATAGATGTATTGTGTATTACCGAGCATTTCATAATGTCCGGCCATGAAAAATTAATACAAATATCGAATTACAAGCTAGCTACATGCTATTCAAGAAGAAATGTAAAACGCGGAGGAGCCTGCATTTTGATAAAAAAATGTCATGAGTACACAGAATTACCAGACATCATGAAATACTCTAAAACAGGGATAATTGAATGTTGTGCTATAACTAAACATTAACAAAACAAAACACGATAATTTTATGTATTTATAGACCCCCGAAAATATGTAACATACTTAATGATAATTTTTATGAAAATTTAGACTCTATTTTGAAGAATGTATGTAAGAACCGAAAAAGTAGTATAATAATATGTGGTGACTTTAATATAGACATTTTGAAAAGGAACAGATTAGCAATAAAATTTGAATACTTTCTTTTAAGCTTTTTTACGTGGTAGAGCCATGCTGCAGCTATATTATGGTTGTAGCACGAATGGGTCGGCTCGACCGGGGAAGGACCACGCTTTCACAGAAAACCAGCGTAAAATAGCAGCTTAATGCTGCTGTGTTTCGTATGGTGAGTGTAGAGAACCGGAGACCCTTTTTACTGGCAAAGAGGCATTTCATCTTAGTCCTCACGGGTGACAACGCATTTGCATCTTGAGTCTTTGTTGAGGATAGATGTAGATGTCTATGGGTCACAGTAACCACTTACCATCAGATGGACTGTGTGCTCGTTTGTCACCCGATCCTATAAAAAAAAAGCTACGACCTTAAACTGGAAATTAACCAACCTACTAGATTAGACAGCAATACTTGTTTAGACAACTTTGCTCATAACTTGAAACAAAAGTGCAAATGCGAAGTAATAGACTTAGCCTTATCAGACCATACAGCTCAGATTCTAAAAATAAAAGTTAGCAAATTAAGACAAATAAAATATTGGCGGAAAACGATAAGAGATACGTCCAACGAGAATATAAACAAATTCAATAAATATATCCAACAGTTATCATTTTCAGACGTTTACAGTACGACCCTAATAATGCTTATGATAGTTTTATCGACTTATTTCTTTTATTATATAACTTGTGTTTTCCTTTTAAATCGGTTATAATACTTAGTGAAAAATCAATTAAATGGGTGTCACGTGGTATTCGGATTTGTAGCAAAAGGCAGCGCCATTTATTGTGGCAAAAGAGATTAAAACCAACATATGAAAATAAAAACAATTTCTATGCGTATTCCCGAAGATACAAAAAAAATAATTAAACTAACACAGAAAGCTCAAAATAACCATCTCATCTGAAACTCAAAGAATAAATCCAAGACATCTTGGCAAATAATAAATAATAGTAAAAAAATTACGGAACCTATTTCTCAGATAAAAAAAAGATGATTTGTTAATAACAAACCCTAAAGAAATAGCTGAATCATTCAACAATTTTTTTATCGACCAGATCACAGATATACCAAAAAACGTATCAGATAACATCAAAAAAATTAATTACAACCCACACTCGATATTTATAACACCAATTATATCAATTGTACCACATGACATAATACGGATAATAAAATCTTTAAAAAACAAAAAAAGTTTTGGTTATGATGGCATTTCAACGCAAGTTATTAAATCTATCATATCTGATAGGCCGCAAACAATGTAGAGAGATTGCTAGAATATGCATTAAATCTAAACGTGAATGCAAATATGTTTCTTCCTATAGAGAAATAAAATTTGGCGTACCACAGGGGAGTGTCCTTGGCCCACTGTTATTTTTACTTTATATAAACGACCTCCCATGTCAAATCCATCATCCAATGGTATTATTTGCTAACGACAGTACAGCTCTAATAAAATGCCTTAGTAAAAATTCTTATGAAAATGATATAAACACTATGATTAAAACTATAATTAACTGGCTGAATTATAATAATTTACTAATCAACATTAAAAAAACTAAAATAATGCACTTTTATCAGAAAATTCGCACTGAAGATCTAAATATAAATTACAATTGTCAAATAGTTGAAAGAGTAGATGTCGCAAAATTTTTAGGTATTTCAATGGACAGCCAATTGACATGGAAGGCCCAAGCAGATGACGTATGTAAAAAACTAAGTGTTTCTGCATATGCACTCTATAACCCGACAAAAAAGTCAGTATCAAAACGGTGCTAGTAGCTTACCATGGCCTGGCAGTTTCCATTTTAAGATACGGTATAATATTTTGGGGCAACTGTGGCGATAGAGAAAGCATTTTCAAAGCCAAAAGCGCTGCATAAGAGCAATCTTCAATTTAGAGATAACAGATAGTTATGTCCCTATTTTTAAAGCCCATAAATTATTAACTTTTCCGTGTCTATATATTTTAGAAATAGCGATATTTGTTAAAATTAATCATCATTTATTTCCTACCTTAAATGAAACTCGAGTACGAACCGTATTTATGAGAATGCAATATAAAGATTTACTGTATACAGGAAGATTTCAAACAGCTTTAATAAAAAAAAGTGTTATGAGCATGGCACCTGTCCTATATAACAAAATCCCAATTTTTGTAACAAAATCAACCTATTAGAATATTTAAAAAGAGTCTTACTTCTTTGTTATTGGAAAGTTGCTATTACTCAGTATCGGACTTCTTAAATGATACCAATATTTAAATAACGTTTCTGTTAATTAATTGTTTATAATATGTTGTTTGTATTAATAATTTATAATGTGTTATGCTAACTGCAATAAAATTTCAACAAACTCAATTTATCTAATAATAATAATGAAATACTTTGAATTATAAAAATGTAATAAGTATTTATACTCATAATTATAATTTTAAATCTATTTATAATTAATTACTAGTGTTATATGGAAATAAATTTAATTTAATATTTGCATGCCAAAATGGTAGAATGTACGGATCTTCTATGTACTCTGTCAACATCTTATTGTTAAAACGTACATTCAATGCAAATAAATCAATATTCTATTCTACGAGTATATTCTATTCATACATAACTAACATTTAGTCAGCATTAATTAGGAGACAGGCAGTTTGACCAAGATTATTCTTGAAATCATCAAATGGATCTCGACAACTGGGCTACCTACCGGGTCCAATTGTGAATCTAAACCTTCCAGGGACCCACTAAAACAAACACAAAAAATTTCATCAAAATCGTTTTTGAGTTTTAGCGAGACTAACGGATAGCAATTGATTTTTATATAGATTGCAGGTTATTTTTGTTTATATATGTGGTATTTTTAACTATACTTTTAAATGACTTCTAAGTCGATGGTTTAGTTACTTATATTGCATGAACTATGAACATTAGGTTATGCCATCAGTCGGCCACAACACAATATAAAACTAAAAATCATAAATCAACTCTTTAACGTGGTAGAGTCATGCTGCAGCTATATTAGTAGTATAGTTGTAGCAAGAATGGGTCGGCTCGACCGGGGAAGGACAGAAAACCAGCGTAAAATAGCAGCTTAATGATGTGTTTCGTATGGTGAGTGTAGAGAACCGGAGACCCTTTTTACTGGAAAAGAGGCATTCCATCTTAGTCCTCACGGGTGACAACGCATCTGCATTTTGATTCGCAAACGAGGGTAAATGTTGATGTCTATGGACCACAGCAACCACTTACCATCAGGTGGACTGTGTGCTCGTTTGTCACCCTATCCCATAAAAAACGTCGTAAAACCACCCTGCAGTTATGGTTGAATCACCAATGCGTTTGGTTCGACCGGGGAAGAACCAAGCTCTCACAAAATATCAAAGTGATGGCAGCTTAATGCTGCTGTGTTTCACATGGCGAGTGTTTTAAATGATAACGAGGCATTCTATCTTAGTCCCCAAAGGTGACAACTGACAAAGCATCTTCATTTTGATTCTTAATCGAGGATACATAAGGTTTATTGGCATAAGAAGGGCATTAAACTTTATTTATAAAGTCTATTCTTTCAAGAAAGGAACTTGATGAAAATCTGAACTATAATATGACTAACATCCACAATGACATTTAATTCATAACATATGCCATAACAAATTTTATTTACAAACGCCATAAATTAAACACACCGCTTGATAATGGTAAACTTAAGAACCCCTCCAATACATAATTCGTTATCCTTTGATCGTCCACACCAAGTCTTGTTCCATATCAGAGGCTTTTAATTAGTATAACCCAAGTACATGAAATTCCAATCCCTGAAACTAATTCGATCGTATAGACATATAGGCCGCAGCAATTAAGTGGACTATGTGTTTGTTTCCCATCCTTCCTTAAAAAACAATCTTTACTACTTACCGTTACCGTTACAGCCTATTAAAGTCCACCGAAACATACGGCTGAACATAGCTCTCTCCCCACATAGATTAGATAGATTGCCTCACAGGGGGGATATTTGCCCTAGTTGCCACGCTTGGCTTGTTATTATATAGACGCCGCTGCTCATTTCCTGATTATTTCATTTTCCCTCTGTCGCCTCTTACGGCACCCACGGAATGATATGCTGTATTGGATATTCTTACACCGCCACTACACGATATTATAGTTATTCTATTTTACGATGAAGTTTTGACTTTGGTTGTTGTTAGCCGTTCACATACACATTGTGTTAGTGTGCGTAAGCTGGGCCTACACACACTAACACAATGTGTATGTGCACAGCTAACACAACCAAAGTCGAAACTTCATCGTGAAATAGAATAACTATACTAATTTGTATCAATATGACATAATTTGTTTTATAAAAGTAACACGTAATATTTTGATTTGTAATTAGAGGCAAGAATAAACAAACCAAAACTACAAAAGTTGGCTTCAATCGATTCAATAAGAAGCACCACTGACTCCGATGACTCTAGCTCCGAAGACAGTGTGGTACTGGAAGAAAGTAAGGAGGAAGAATTTAAGCCGACCACGTGGCAGATACTGAAGCTGTGCGAACCGGAGAAGTGGCTGATGGTCGGTGGTGTGATCGCCGCTATCGCCGTAGGCTCATCCTTCCCGTGCTTTGCAATACTGTTTGGTGAAACTTATGGTGTAAGTTGTATTATTATATCACTTAGGCTCAGGTCAACAAGGAAAATTGACGAGGCGTCTTTTTTATTTTTTTTATTTATAGGATTAGGGTGATAAATGAGTACACCGTCTACCTGATGGCAAGTGGTTGCTGTGGCCCATAGACATCTACATCACGAATACACATCATATTACATTACGAATCAAAAATGCAGATGCGTTGTCACCCGTGAAGACTAAGATGGAATGTCTCGTTTCCAGTAAAACTCACCATACTTATATACATTTTACGTTTATATCATATATATATATTTTACGCTGATATTTTGTGAGAGCATGGTTCATCCTCGGTTGAGCCGACCCATTCGTGCTATCGAGTGTTCGAATATCAATATCTATTCCTACTGTAAATATATGATGAGCACAAACAATAAATCCTAATAAACCAATTGCTATTATAGCATAAATTATTACTAAACATCCAAAGTTTCTTTTTTTTTTCCACTTTCTTGTGAAATAATATGGGAGATTATTCCAAATCCAGTTAAATTAAAATATAAACTTCTGGGTGACCAAAAAATCAAAATAAATGTTGATATAAGATAGGATCTCCACCTCCTGCTGGGTCAAAAAATTAAATATCAATTTTTCATTTTTAATTATTATATTTCGATCTGTTAGGTAATAGTAATAGCACGTGCTAAGACATGTAAAGATAATAATAAAAGTAATTTTACCAGCGTAAAATAGCAGCTTAATGTTGCTGTGTTTCGTATGGTAAGTGTAAAGAACCGGAGACCCTTTTTACTGGCAAAGCGGCATTCCATCTTATAACTTAAGGGTGACAAGGCATCTGCATTTTAATTCGTTATCGAGGATAGATGTAGATGTCTATTGTCCAAAGCAACCACTTACCATAAGGTGGAATGTGTGCTCGTTTGTCATCATTATTCTATAAAAAAAAATCGGAACACAACAGTGCAAGCGCTGTAATTGCCGGCAGAAATAGGTGTAAGGGTTCCCGAAGTACCCGGAGGTACTCCCAGGCAGGCAATAAAGTAGTCCTACCATCTAGCAGTACTTTTTCTTATTTTTTTAACAGCCTGTATAACTCTACTGCTGGCTTCGTTAAGAGTTTAGACGGGAACTTGACCGCACACGATTGCGATGCTGCTTACATGTTGTCGTTCGGTATGAAAGTTGTAAAAGTTGTCGGTGTAAAAGTTGCAGCCTATTTACATCCCACTGCTGGGCACAGGCCTCCTCTCATTTCTGAGAGAGTTTTAGGGCAAGGAAATGTCCACCGTGCTGCCCCAATGCGTGTTGGCGAACTTCACATGTCTTCGAAATATTTTTTTCTTATTTCTCAGACATGCAGGTTTCCTCACGATGTTTCCCTTCACCGCTGAGCACGTAGTAAATCAGCACTTAAAATTGCAATTAACAATTTCATTGGTGCCGGAGGGAACGAACCCGGGTTGCTCGAGTAATGTGAAGCTTACAGCGAGTGCTAACCATCTGAGCTACCACGGCTCTATGCTCATGTGTATACATGTGTAAACATGAGCTGCTGGAAACTACGAAACAAGTGCCCCGGTAGTAATAAAAACTGCAAGATAGTGTGTCCGTATGAGAATTTCCAACATAAAAAATAACATTTATTTAACATTTTTCTTATAGTAGATAGACAGACCTCAATCGATTTTATAAATACTTATATTTGAAATATCAAAAGTTCTCTTTTTAAATTTTACCGCCCCACAACTTCCAGGCAACCTAGACATGTTGCAACTGCGAAAACAATTTTTTCATGTCACTTATTTTTTATATTTTTTTTTTAAATAAATACCCAAATGTGCGACGAGGAAAAGCGTTAAAGGTGCGAGAATAGTATTGTAAACGCATCCGCCTATCAAACGAGACGATTAAGCCAAATTCTCCTTTGGACAAGAGGGGCTTGTGTTCAGCTGTAGTCTTTTATAGCCTGAATATAATTTGAACATTTAGAAAGCATTGAGTAGGAGCGTAATTTGCTTTTGATATTAAAAGTAATTCTGTGTTTATGTTGTTCAACAGTTGTTAGAAAATCTGGATGAGGACTTCGTACGCGGCGGAACCAATATCATCGCCGTGCTGTTTCTAGTGGTGGGCGTGTACACGGGCATCGGAATTTTCTTTCAAATTTTCATCTTCAATTTGACCGGCGTCCGACTGACTGCGCGACTAAGGTGCGTAGTATTTTTACTCTTTCTTCTACCATCTTTCAGATGTGAAATCTTGATAAAATTGCTATAGTTCCCGTCCGCTCACTAAAATACCGGTAAGCGATAAAACATGGCTTTGAGATTATACGTAAAATAGAAGGAAAATATTTTTATACAAATGATGGTCACAAACAAGCACAAAATGCACCTGACGGTTTAATTGAAGGCTATGACCCATATACTCTTAGATCTATCATCGATCAGATACTGCGTAATCAGTGCGTTGTCACTTTTGGAATGATGGAATGCCTCACTAGCATTAATATGATCACCAGTTCTTTGGATTCGCCACACGAAACATGACTGCATAATTCTGATATTGTACACTGGTATTCTTTGAGAGAATAGTCCTTTCCTCTTAGTCATAGTTACCTCTTTATTTATTGATCTATCAACAGCCAAAAGCTGAACATTGGTTTCTCTCATAGACTACGTTTAGGAGGGAAATTTACCATAGTTATATATTATACAACGTTGCATAAACCATAACATATAAGTTTAAGTGTTATCTTGTAAGTTATATTAAACAATAAACATATATACTCCATATATGGTTGATAATGCTTTTGCTTTTACAAATCTACGGAGCCGCGTGGCGCAGTGGCTTAGCGTTCAGTTGAGACGCTGAGTGCCGCGGGTTCGTATATGTACGAAACAAGTATTTGTATGACCTACAAAAAATTGTTCCGGGTGTTTATCTTTGTACAATTTACGGATGTTTACGGACTCCAATATACAGGAGATAATTCTAGACTATGGCTAACATAAATTTTTATTTAAAAAAAAAAGTGCTGACAACGTCTTTTTAGGGTTCCGTACCCGAAAGGTAACCAACGGGACCCTATTACTAAGCCTCAGTCTGTCAATGGGCTGTATCTCATGATCCGTAATAGGTAGACAGTTGAAATTTTCACATAATTTTCACACAAACAAATAATAAAAATTAATATAAATAAAAATTTAATGGGGGATTTTTACTAAAAACGTGTTTTTTTTTGCATACATAGTATTAACTCTTGTACGATGGTACGAAACCCTTCATGCGCGAGTCCGACTCGCACGTGGCCAGTTTTATTTTTAATCTTACGTCAATCATTAGTAAAGCTTTTACCGAATTACAATAAAAGTGTTTGGCAACAGGGTAGGTGCATTCCGATCCATGTTGAAACAAGAGATTGGTTGGTTCGATGATCCAGTGAATGGTATTGGTGCCCTCTGCTCAAGACTGGCTGCGGATGCTGCCGCTGTGCAAGGGGTAAGTATTGTGAATGATTCAAATCTATCAAGTATTTAGAGTGGTGTGTCCACAACACCATTACAGATACTAATAGGTTTTTAAGATTACAATTCCATAGGTCCCGCACGATTTAAGCTGCTCCTCGTCACTGGTATGGGATATTTAACGTGTAGAATAATAATCAAGATTTTCATAGGCACTTTTTCATAGTCGCTACGTACTATATTTTCTGCCGACTTCAAAAAGGAGACGGTACTCAATTCGACTGTATGCTTTTTTATGTGTGTTAGTTACCTCATAACATTTTACTGGGTGGACCGATTTCGATGATTCTTTTTTATTTGAAAGCTGGTGCTTCACTTGTGGTCCCATATAAATTTGATTAAGGTCCGACCAATAGTTTTCGAGTTATTCTTAATAATTTATATTGAAGTTGGTTGTACAAAATTTTAAATTATATAATTCGTTTATGACTTATAAACATATATTTTAATCGGTTCAAATAATTTATATAATTTATACTTATATACGACGATAATATTATCTGAAGACACTAAAATTATCACAATATCTTGCAATTTTTATCTTGTGTGTATCGTAAGAGGCGAGGCGACAGAGGGTTGCTTAACCTAAAGGAGGGCAGCGCATCTTCTTAATAACAATATAATTAATAAAAATTAAAAACTACGGTTGCCAAGATGCTTACTAAGCGTGGCAACTATGTCAAATATACCCCAAATGAGGCAACCTTTGGGGTAGGCCTATGTTGAAGGGGGTTGGGGGCCTATGGTAAATAAAAAATAACTTTCAATAAGTATTATGTAATAATCTATAGTGAATAAAAATTATTCTATTCTATTCTATTCTACTGAGCATTAAACTTTTAATAGGCTGTAGCAAGTATTTCAACAATCGCATTTTTACTCATCTACTTCAAACCATTATTTAAATTATTAAATCGTTTGAATAATAAAATATTATTTATGTACTTATTGTTAAAAAAAATATTATGATCATCACACCACTAGATCACACACACAGATAGAATATATAAAACTCATAATATTTTAACACAATTTTACTACCATATTCTTGCAAATAAAGATTATATTTGACGGCTTCGTGGGGCAGTGGCTTAGCAATGAGTTACGGCGCTAAGGGCCGCGGGTTCGAATCCCGAACGGAACAAGTATTTGTATGGTCTACAAATAATTGTTCCGGGTCTGGATGTTTGTCCTTGTAAAATTTGTGTATGTAAACTGCCATCACGATACAGGAGTTAATCCTAGTGTGGAGGAAACGTTTTTGAAAAAGAAAACAAAAAAATACAAGAAGAGAAGAGAAGAGAAGATTATTAATATTATTTCTACGTGGTAGAACCATGCTGCAGCTATATTATGGTTGTAGCACGAATGGGTCGGCTCGACCGGGGAAGGACCACGCTCTCACAGAAAACCAGCGTAAAATAGCAGCTTAACGCTGCTGTGTTTCGTATGGTGAGTGTAGAGAACCGAAGACCCTTTTTACTGGCAAAGAGGCATTCCATCTTAGTCCTCACGGGTGACAACGCATCTGCATCTTGAGTCTTTATTGAGGATAGATGTAGATGTCTATGGGCCACAGCAACCACTTACCGTCAGGTGGACTGTGTGCTCGTTTGTGACCCTATCCTATAAAAAAAAATTATTATTTAACAACAATGCAGGAACAGCAAGCATATACAGTGAAGTTCCCACCAAAACGCGCCGATCTTTATTAATAGATCCATGGATATTTATTTTTTTATTTTAGGCAACGGGAACCCGCATTGGCGCCCTCATGCAAGCCTCTGCAACCATTATTATCGGCATCATACTGTCGCTGTACTACACCTGGCAGATGACGCTAGTCTCGCTCGTTTCCGTCCCAATGGTCATAGCGGCTGTCGTGCTGGAGGGTCGGGTCCTGTCGGCAGGCATCACCACTGTCAGGGAAGCCTCCAATAAGGCGAACACAATTGCTACGGAAGCTATAACCAATATTAGGACTGTGTCTGCCTTCTGTGAGTAAATATTTTAGTACCTTTTCAAATCTATAATAATATATTTAGGTGGTAGGATCTTTTTCTACCTATGAGTCCGTCTGGGTAAGTACCACCCTCTTACCCATTCCTACCGCCAAATAGTAGTGCTTGAACTGCTGTGTACTGGTTTGAAGGGTATAGAAAGCCATTAATATTAAATGAAACTATTATTTATAATAGTTTCATTTAATATATTTTTTTATTTATTTAATAAGGCTTACCAACTAAATACATATAGAAACAATTATTATGAGGTGCACTTTAAAAAAAAATTGTATATATGCATTTAAATTAAAGGTAAACACAACATATAATAAAAGACTTCCTTTAAGGAGAACAGTAACCTATAAAATTATCACTACAATAAAATAACAAAATTAGAACAAACAAAAAAAAACCTAATTTATATAATGTATAAATGGAAAAAAGAGAGGAAGTAAAAAAACTTTTAAAATGAAAAAATTATTTGGCTGTGTAATGTGTTAGTACCTTCCTCTTTAAAACATTTAAGCTATCAAAATGGATATATTGTTATAATATTAATTATATAATATAATTTTTTACGGGTTTTATCGCGCTTAATTTAACTTTTTAATTCCCGACGTTTCGGGTGCTTTACAGCACCCATGGTCACGGGGGGACTCCCCGTGAACATCCCGTAAAAATATAGTTTCATTTAATTTTTTTATAGGATAGGGTGACAAACGAGCACACAGTCGACCTGATGGTGAGTGGTTGCTGTGACCCATAGACATCTACATTTATCCTCAATAAAGAATTAAAATGCAGATGCGTTGTCACCCGTGAGGACTAAGATGGAATGCCTCTTTTCCAGTAAAAAGGGTCTCCGGTTCTCTACACTCACCATACGAAACACAGCAGTGTTAAGCTGCTATTTGACGCTGGTATTCTGTGAGAGCGTGGTCCTTCCCCGGTCGAGCCGACCCATTCGTGGTACAACTATACTACTAATATTGCTGCGGCATGGCTCTACCACGTACATATTTATTTTTCTACATTTAATGTGTAGTCTTCGCGTAAATATAAGAAATCATTAAGCCATTAATAGTTATAGGTTGTGAGACATTTCATTTTAGTCCTCAAAGGTGATAACGCACCTGTAGCCTTCTTTGTTTGAAGTTAGCTACAGGTTGATTAATAGAATCAGGCGTTACTTTGCGGAAGTCCATTATATTAAAGTTGACAAAAAATTACTTTGCGTACATCCGCTCGATAAAATAAAATATGTCTTACCTAGTTTGAAGAGCACCTCCCGCCCTCCCTCAATTGCGTGCACTATCACCGTCACCACTAATTTTGGGAGTAGTGGTGCTGGGATTAGTGGTGAAAAAAAATTTACCAATTATACCATCTGAAAGGTCAGAAATTGGTCATAAAAGGTCAGTTGATCTTATTAATTGGTCAGCGTTAGAAACATTTTTATTAAGGGTTAAAGTTTTTCAAGGTCAATGAGAAAGTTTAGCATCTCATTCGCAAAAAAATATAAAAAATTCCACCTATGCGCGATCGAGAAGCATTCGCTGATAATTGATATGAAATTATATGAATTTCTCTTGAAATTTTGCTTGATACCTCCACGCGTTCCTGAGTGAAAGGGTCTTGATAGTGAGACAGCCGGACAATAAAGTGATCCTATAAGGTTAAAATAAAATCAACTGATCTTTTATGACCAATTTCCGACATTTTAGATGGTATAATTGGTAAATCGAAATTCCGTACATGAGGTGCTAAGATCGCGGAGCTACCATCCTCTTGGCTATTTATGTCGCCAAATACCGGTGCTTGCATTGCTGTATTTCGGTCTAAAAGGTGTAGGGAGCCAGTATTATTACAGACAGTGACCTTTAGTTATTTATTTATTTAATAAGTGCACTTACAATATACTTAAATGACATTGTCACAAAAACATACACACTTTTATATTTTCTGATATGCATATCAATAACAAGTGTACATAAAATTCATAGTTTGAGTCGTGCAACTTAATTTAGGATTAATTTGGAGTAGGAAAAATCCAATCAATGCAATAAAATGACCTTGAGGAATGAATAAATGACCTTATTATCTTAGTTCTCAAAGGTGATAATTCATTGCAGTAGTCACTTAGCAACAGGTGGAATGTAAGTTCGTTTGTCAGTTTGCTTTAAATCACGCGCGTACGGGACTGTGGCAGGCGGCGAGGAGGGCGTGCTGAGCCGGTACCGCGCGGCGGGCATGCGCGCGCGCGCCACGGCGCGGCGCAGCATGCGCTGGCGCGGCTGCGTCTTCTCCTTCGGCCAGACGGCGCCCGTCGCCGGCTACGCGCTCGCGCTCTGGTACGGCGGCGTGCTCGTCGCCAACAACGAGGTGCACTACAAGTCCGTCATCAAGTGCGTACACATCTTATTTTCATCATTTTAATACACCACTAACCCATATAATCTTCTAGCTGTCAGACTGTACTGTCTGAGAGAGGGAAACTAAAATTAATGATAGACTAGAATCTGCCTGATAAGAACTCAATAATAATGTAAATGTAATTGCCAAATTTGGCCACTGTAGTAATATTTCTCCTTAAGGACAATCTATGGGGCATACGTACGGCAGTGAAATTGTGACGAACTGAATGAATGAAAAAGTGAAGTTACAACCTGCATAAGTTCGTCTTAAGGCATAAACAGCCTCTTCTCATTACCGACAGGAATGTGGCGCAAATAGTCTGCCGCGCTGCCCTATTTACAAATTCATTTGTAGTTCGCTAAAAAAACTGACAGTGATATAATCACGTGTGTTAAATGTTACAAAAAAATGAAAGCACTTAAATATTTAAGTTCGTGGATAGCTCAACCACTCGCATCAAGAATCCTTCATATAATATAAGCAAACTGAATTATATTAATGCTTATTTACCATTGTTAAGCACATCGTGAGGAAACATGCATCTTTTACGAGGGTCACACTGATAGTTCTTATTAGAAAATCAAAAACTGAACAAACTAGAAAGTTATTAGTTTTATTATATCCTTTTAAAATAGTGTCCATTTACATCAATACATCGCTGCATCCGATGGAACCACTGAGAAAAGCACTGCCCACTCGTCCTTAGTCTTCGACTTCAACTTGAGCCGCGTAGTAATTTGTATTTAGAAGTGATGCCATCGCGCTGCCAGGGCAATCACCATGCCGTTTTGTGTCTGGGTGCGAACGGCGTTTCCTCTCAGGGCTCTGCCGGGCCCTCGACTCTCACGGGCGGGGGTGCTCAGCCGCGCCACCTGTAGGGCGACGCTCGGCGCTCGCCTGCCGGCCACCGTGCCCCTGGGTTTGAAAGGGGTCCCTCCCCGAACCAGTCTGGGGGTCGTTCCCCCATAGGCGGGGGGGTCGTCCCCCCCCCCTCAGTGTGTTGAAAGGAACTTCACAGTCACTCAGCGGTCAGCTAGATCCTTCTCACCCCCGTCAGCTGAGTGGCCGCGGCTGGGGTACCACTGTCCCCCCTTTGATGCAGGCAGCCCCAGCTAGGTAGCTGCCGCCCTAGCTCCCACCACGGCCGCCTCAACTAATCCTTCGAGCTGTCAACAGCTCACTTGTCAAACTGTTCTATTGCCGACGGCCTCAGTGAGGGTGTACAACCCGAGTGTCGATTGTTTAACGGTTCGCGCTCTATTGGATTCGGATCCACAACACGGTGTGGCTTCCACTTGGTTGTTGGGAAGACTAGGGCTCCCCTGGAGCGTTGAATCACGCTGTCAAGGACTATTAGATTTGGTTTTGGTCGAGCACTTAATTAATGATGCTTTAAATTAAAATAAAATGCTTTGGGTTTTCCGCGAAATGTTTCATATTTGTGGCGGTTGTGATTAAAAAGGGCGAATTTGATGTGCTCTTTGAATGAGTGTGCATATGTTTTTGTCATTATATTTGATCATTGTGTTTGCTTTGTTGAAAAGAAAATTGAAATTGAATGATGTGCTCTTTGAATGCGTGTGCATATGTTTTTGTAAATGTATTTGATCATTGTGTTTGCTTTGTGGAAAAGAAAATTGAAATTGAATAACACTATTTGTGCCCAAGGGAATAAGAATAATTCCTCTCTTTGTTTTCACTTTTTTGTTGGCACTGTCGAAGATATTTATTTTGAAAGAGAAATAGGGCTGTCTCTTACGTTTATCGTTTGTTTAATTTGTCTGTTTGATCTATGCGCATCGGTAAATTAATTTGTTTGAATTAATTCAGTAGTTGAACATTGATGCTTTTGAAACTTGGTTGAAATATGAGCATAGGACTCCATGTCTGGAAGGGCTGGCTGGTTGGGAGATTATCAGATTGAAATCAGCTGCCGCACAATTGAGTAAATGATTATATGGTAGATGGCTTGGTTATGCCTACTTGCTTGAAAAATCGCACTAAGGACTATCTGTGCGTTTCGTTTGCCTCTCCACAGACGCCGTTCATGTGGAACTTGTAAGTGCCCTTAGCACTGAAGCCTTTGTGGCCATGCTGGGCCGCTTCGTATCGCGTCGCTTTTTGCAGACCTGATCCGGTCGGATTGCGGAACGAATCATAGGGGCACAGATAGGTGTTTGAAAGAAGTCGTCGGATTTCTGTCCAGTAACAGGACTTATTTAGGTGCTGCGATGTCCGGGAAGGGCATCCAGTGGAGGTTCAACCCTCCGGCTTGCCCACATTGGGGCGGTATTTTCGAGGCGTTGGTTAAGGTTGCAAGATCTGATGGGGTGCCTAAGGTGGCCTAGTTTCGGTTGTAGATTCGGTCGTGCAACGTGCCGTCATGACCCTGTCCCGCTGGTTTGCTCCCCGACATAAGTCCTTATGTCCGGGACGGGGGTTTGTTTAGGCCAAATATAGGCATTTGAAACGCCATCCAATTGCGTTTGACTAAACGAGTCGCCCGATGGTGTGAGGTGACGTGGTCGCCGGGGGGGGGGCAGCAGTATGCAGCTTCCCGGCGTTCGGCGCTCGTGGGCGAGACAGTAGCTTGAGTGCAGCGGCGCGGTCGATTAACGTATTTTGTGGTGACCGCTGCAGCGGTTTCGCGCGACCAGTTTTGGTTTTGTGGTCTAGATTTTTAGTATTTGTGCGCGTTTAATTCACTATTGAATTTGTGGTTTCGTGAAGACCGCCTCGGATTAGTTTGTCTAAGTTGTACGTTCGTGACAAGAGGCTTGTATTGAATTTGACTGATTAAAGTAATTTCGTTTGAAAGTAATTGCGTCAATTGTATAGTGATTGCGTGTTTGAAGTGCATTTTGCAATATTTAACTTGCTTGTGTGACGTGGAACCTTGCGTGCACGCCGAGTAGAGATACGGTCGGGAATTTGAAGCTCGCATTCCATTTCAAGGGCGTGGCCCGGTTAATTGTTTTTGGAAGTCATTGTTTAATTGTACCGTCACGTTAAGAGCCTTTTGTGTGTTGACTCTGTAGTTAGTGCGTGTCAGCTAGGCTGATTTTGAATTCTTATTGCGGCTTAGTATTTAATATCGTACGAAGGAATTTAGTTTGTTGTTTGGGGACGCTGAACTTTGAGACTCGAGAAGAGGCCGCGTTCGATCCTGTGTTTGTAAATTTTTGCTACGTGAACCCGGAACCTTGAATATTGAACTTTGAACGACTGTTAGTTACTTGTGTCGGGTATCACGTGTTTGATTTCGATGAATGTTGAATTGGTTGAATTTGAAGTTAATTATATGTACAATAAAGTTGATAGACTGAAATAGTGAAATAAAGAAAGAAGTTGTCAATTGGTGACGTCCGCTGGAGTGATACAACATGGTGGGGCGGCATCGGAACAGGCCGCTGCCCGGTCACCTCAGCTGGGTCAGGTCACATAAATAAACACTACTACACACCACTTACATGCACCTACACCTACCTACCGCCTGATCGAGCCTTGGGGCAGTCTTAGCTTCGAAACCAGGTACGTACTATTTGTTTACCTAGCCTTATATCTATTGTGTAAAATGATAAGTCTCCATAGGCCGGTGGGCCCCGTCCCCTGCTGCCCGTCGATGGGACTACTGACGGGCCCTAGTCCAGTCTATCTTTGTTGGGGCAGTTAGGAGCATGTACAGAGTTTGGTAGCAGAGCGTGGTTTGGATTGGATAATTGTGTACAAGAATCATAACAATAAATCCAGCTTTCCTCACCCGTAATATGTCGAACACAGCATTTGAGTCACCTCCGTTAAATCTTTGAACCATTTCACGACACCAATCAACACGATGGAGTTTTTGGGCCTCTGTCAAATTATGAGGTATCCACCGGGCACAAAGCTTCCTGACCGCTAAATGTTCATGGAGGATTTTGTGCACTTGACTCATACCGATGCCTAAGGTTGTCCGAATCTGCTGATAAGTCACTCTTTTGTCAGTCTCTATCATACGCCACACAACTCTGATGTTATCTTCAGTCGTCGCCGTAGAAGGCCGTCACTCACGCAGATCATCTGTGAGATTAGTGCGACCAGGTTTAAATTCATTAAACCAGTTGTAAACAGTGCCACGAGATGGGATGGGGCTTCATCGTGAAAGGCCAATCAATGTCTATAATAATTTTCTTGTTGATTTAAATGACATCAAAAGTCATAAAAAATCATTGTACGAAAATTTTCTCGCGTTAAATTCACGCTGACGTGACACAGACAATTTTCAATTTGCCGCGAAATCGTAAACAAATGACAAATTAATAAAATACTAACACAATAATATTGGCAAAGAGTTCCATTTTCAAAATTTGAACTTATTTTTTATTATATCGTTTACAAGTGGCCAGTTCTAAAAACTTTCAGTGTCGCCCTCGTAAGCCGCATATCGATTACGCACTCCTGGCGCGCGCGCCATGATTGACCGCGCCGACCAGTGCGTTCCGCGGAACGAGCTCCAAATGTTCGAAGTGTATCAACTAAGCGCGCCTCAGCCGATCCAGTGTTTGACCGTTCAACATGGATATCGATCGTATACGACATAGATAATATACTATGTCGTATACGATCGATCGTATATAGGGCAGTATGCGAGCAGCTGCCGCTTTCATAGTTCTCTCCATGCATCTTCTCCGAGCGCGTTATTATGATACAAGTGCTAAAATTTACAAATTTTGTACAACCACTTCAATATAAATAATTCATTGTTGATTTTTTTAAAACCGCTCGACCGATTTCGTAAAAATTGAAATGGGAGACCACCTGAAAAGTATACTCCTTGAAACAAAAAAGAATTTTCCAAATCGGTTCAGGCCTCTTCGAGTAATCGGTGAACATACATAAAAAAAAAAGATTTCGACCTCTATCTTTTTTGAAGTCGGTTGACATTTTTACTTTTGATATTTTTTTTTAGAAAAATACTAGTAATGCTATTAAACATTAGTAATATTCCCTTGTCATGATATAGTATTATTTGCTGATGATACTTCCTTGATTTTTAAACTTAAACGTCAATCATTTAAATGTGACGAAGTGAATAATGCTATATCAAAATTAGTGCATTGGTTTAATGTTAATAATCTGCATTTGAACGGAAATAAAACTAATTGTGTTAAATTTACAACAACGAGTGTTCAAAATCTGAATACCAATGTATTTTTAAATGGGGAGGAATTGAGCCCTGTTGTATCCACTGTTTTTCTTGGCATCACTCTTGACGCAAAGCTCCAGTGGGGCCCCCATATATCCAAATTAGCAAGCAGACTAAGTTCTGCAGCCTATGCTGTAAAAAAGATTAGAGGTCTCACTAGTGTCGAGACAGCTAGATTAGTTTATTTTAGTTATTTTCATAGCATAATGTCTTATGGGATTTTGCTATGGGGAAATGCGGCTGATTCAGAAACTATTTTTGTTTTACAGAAGAGGGCCATTAGAGCTATTTACAATCTAAAACCGAGAGAGTCTCTTAGAGATAAATTTAAAGAAATTAATATATTAACTTTGGCCTCTCAGTATATTTACGAAAATTTAATGTATGTTCACAAAAACAAAGATAGTTTTAGTAAAAGAAGTGATATACATTCTGTAAACACTAGGAACAAACACAAGCTAGTGATACCAGTTTCTCGACTCCACAGAGTCAGTAATTCATTCTTGGGGCAATGTATACGCTATTACAACAAGGTCCCGGAAAGTGTACAGGTTCTCTCTATTACCAAGTTTAAATGTTTTATTAAGCTGAAATTGTATAAAAAGGGTTGTTATAGTATAAATGAATACATGGTTGATAATAACCCCTGGGAATGAGGTGATCGCTTCCAAGCAGTTTCTAAAATAAATTTTGTAAATAGTTCGTAATCATTTATATTGTAAAATTTATTTAAAAAAAAAGTCCCGCTGGGTTTCTTGCTGGTTCTTCCCAGGACAGAGGGTTTTTTTCGAACCAGTGGTAAAGTTAAAAATGACTTTCAATAAGAATTACACATGTAATGTATATTGAATAAAAAATATTCTATTCTATTCTATTCTTTTAGCTACTTCTGGTAAGCTTAAAATACTTGTGTTAGAAGTGGTTCACGACAGTAGTCGAATGGTGGATTCGAATCCACGATCTTTCGAGTTCGCGGTCCGCGCCCTGCCATTAGGCTAATGACGCTTCAAATACTTGAAGATATTCCACAGCAGATCTTTTGAACCATATAATTTTATCAGTTTACGGCAACTTTGGTTATCCACAGCTCGTAACACAACGAACACAAGAATGATGAAAACAACCCTCCCAATTGGCGCGCGCCAAAACTTAACTACTTCAATACACGGTAAAAAACCGACACCAGATGGAAAGGCCCGCTCCACGTTCCTACTAGTTCCAACGAACAATTTGGCGCGCGTTCCAAGGTGGTATCCATTTCGCGCGGCTGGAACGCGCGCCAATGTTCGACCTCTTGGAGCGCATAATCGATACGCGGCTTTAGATATTTCGAGAACATTTGATATTTGTCTGCATGTATTTGGGTGCACTCATCGTCGTACGTACTTCGTTGCTATATATTTTTTAATTTATACATTAATTAAAATTCGCGTGCCAACGTAAATAATTGTGTTCTACAAGGAACACAACGCAAATCGTTATCGATGCCAATATGCGAAAAGTTTATTCGTGTGCAGAGTATCGGAGGCGCTGATCTTCGGCGCGTGGATGATGGGGCAGGCGCTGGCGTTTGCACCGAACTTCGGCGCGGCGATGCTTGCGGCCGGACGCGTCATGACGCTGCTGGCGCGCACCCCGCGCGTCACCAGCCCGCCCGCGCCCACGCTGCCCGACACCTACGTGAGTACAGCTCGCTGCTCCGCTGCCTGTCACTTGCACTTGTTGCTGCACTCGCAACATCACACGTCGCCAGCCCGCCCGCGCCCACGCTGCCCGACACCTACGTGAGTACAGCTCGCTGCTCCGCTGCCTGTCACTTGCACTTGTTGCTGCACTCGCAACATCACACGTCGCCAGCCCGCCCGCGCCCACGCTGCCCGACACCTACGTGAGTACAGCTCGCTGCTCCGCTGCCTGTCACTTGCACTTGTTGCTGCACTCGCAACATCACACGTCGCCAGCCCGCCCGCGCCCACGCTGCCCGACACCTACGTGAGTACAGCTCGCTGCTCCGCTGCCTGTCACTTGCACTTGTTGCTGCACTCGCAACATCACACGTCGCCAGCCCGCCCGCGCCCACGCTGCCCGACACCTACGTGAGTACAGCTCGCTGCTCCGCTGCCTGTCACTTGCACTTGTTGCTGCACTCGCAACATCACACGTCGCCAGCCCGCCCGCGCCCACGCTGCCCGACACCTACGTGAGTACAGCTCGCTGCTCCGCTGCCTGTCACTTGCACTTGTTGCTGCACTCGCAACATCACACGTCGCCAGCCCGCCCGCGCCCACGCTGCCCGACACCTACGTGAGTACAGCTCGCTGCTCCGCTGCCTGTCACTTGCACTTGTTGCTGCACTCGCAACATCACACGTCGCCAGCCCGCCCGCGCCCACGCTGCCCGAAAGCTTTGTAAGTATAAATCCACTCCATTGTAATTACTTTTTTCGCTTTCAACGTCCCTAATTGAATTCAATATTGAAGCTACTAGATGTACGAGTATAAGAAATAATAATATGCCCACTTTTCCTTCAAATATCAATCATTCTTGCACTTGTCACCTCTCAGTTGAGTAACTGACAAAATGTCTTTTTTTTATTTAGAAGGGTTTGCCTTAATGCTAAACGGAGTAGGAATTGCTATACCATGCTATCGGACACACAGATGGTAAGTGGATACATGGACATCTCCACTTATCGCTGGTTAATAATTAAAATCAAATGCATTGTCACCCCAAGACCTAGATGGATTGCCACATTTCCAGTAAAAAGAGTCTCCGGTTCTCTACACTCACCATACGAAACACAGCAGTATTAAGGCGTTATTTTACGCTGGTATTCTGTGAGTGCGTGGTCCTTACCCGGTCGAGCTGACCCATTTCTAAATTGTAAAATATTATAGTATTTAAATAAATATTAAAAAATGAACGTGAATATTTAGGTCGCAAGTGGGAAGATCCAGTACAAGAGCGTGAAGTTCCGCTACCCGACGCGGCGCGAGGTGGAGGTGCTGCGCGGGCTGTCGCTGGTGATCCCGAGCGGCAAGCGCGTGGCGCTCGTGGGCCCGAGCGGCTGCGGCAAGTCCACGCTCATACAGCTGCTGCAGCGCCTCTACGACCCGGACGACGGCTACGTGGTGAGTGCCCCACACGCACAGCACTAGCCTTGACATACTCCTACACTAGCCTAATGGTCAAGGGTAGACTGCGGACACTAATAAAAAAGTTTCAACCTGCCATTCAACTCCCGTCGTCAACAGCATTTCAGCATTTTTAGCTCAGTTATAATGATCAATATGAACACTGGTAATGTTAATACCATGTAATGGCGGTGTAAGAGTATCCACTACTCCATATCGTCTCGTGGATGTCGTAAAGGGAAACAAACCAGGAGATGGGCAGCAACGTCTTCCTAATAACAAAAAAATAAGAACTGCGGTTGCTGACTCGCCTGACAAGCATTACAACTATGGCAGATAGCGCCCCCCCCCCCCCCCCCTATGAGGCATTATATGAGGGGGGCCTATGTTTAGCAGAGGACTTTTGATAGGATTTGTATCAACGCTTTTGCATTTGCGTTAGACGTCAACGGCATTTAATGAGAATATTCACTCTCTATTTTTACACTCGCAAATTAAAAATATAATAAAAGGACTGTTATCAAATAAGTCGGGAGAAAAGTTTCTTCGTATTTTGTTTGTATAAAATTGAAGAAAAATCTTTTTGTTAGTACTGTTTGTATCTGGCTGGTTTTAATATCAATACATATAGGATATTAAGAACAAGAAAGTAAAAAGTAATAAACCCTTTGCCGCCATTTTTCAATTGTTTTTCTGTCCGCCAAAATGAGTGAATCGAACGAAAATAATCGATACATTCTGACGTTTTATTACAAAAAGGTTTTTTTATAGGATAAGGGTTACAAACGAGCACTTAGTCCACCCGATGCTAAGTGGTTGCTGCAGCCCATAGACATCCACATCTATTCTCGATAACAAATCAAAATGCAGATGCGTTGTTACCCGTGAGGACTAAGATGGAATGCCTCATTTCCGGTAAAAAGTGTCTCCGGTTCTCTACACCCACCATACGAAACACAGCAACGTTAAGCTGCTATTTTACGCTGGTACTCTGTGAGAGCGTGGTCCTTCCCCGGTCGAGCCGACCCATTCGTGCTACAACTAAACTACTAATATAGCTGCTGCATGGCTCTACCACGTGAAAAACAAGTTAAAAATGCCACTCAAGGCGCGAAAAAAAATTGTGAAGTTTATGGACCTAATTCAGTGTCAGTAAGTGAAGCACAAAGTGGTTGAAGCGTGAAGCAAAATTGGCATATTAGTATTCACGACCACGGAACAAATATAAAGAGGAGTTGTTGTAATTAAATTTCACTATATAACAACGCGTGACAATTTGCGGGGTGAGGGGGTGTTACGCTTACTTAACTATTTTCCAGCTACCCATAAATAGTAAAACTACTCGCATCGTTCCATATCGATGTTGAAATGTAGTTTAGCTACCTTTACCATAGATGGCGGCCTGTTAAGAAAATAATTGTAAAACCTACAAAAATTATATTTTGGTGATTAAAAATTCTTTAGGACTGAATTAAAAACAAATTTCAACACCTTCATATGATTATTTTACCAATACTGAGCTCTACGTACCTTTTTATTTTTAGTTCCCATGATACAAAGTGTCGCCATCTAGTGTCGAATATATTTAATTATATTTGAAAGCCGACGCAGAGATTTTTCTAGAACTATTTTAATAAATTAGGTATGCAATTACTTACAAATGAAATGTGATGCCATCCATAGAATCAGAGCGTCGTCGTCGAATCGTCCATGGGATAAACACTGACAGTATACTAACTAAAACCACGCCCACTGTGATGACATCAGGACCTAGTTAGAATCAAAGTGCACAATTGTTTAGGCCGTCTCCTCTTTGTATTTGCTCCGTGGTTACGACACAGCCGAGGAATTGGGGATTGACCACAAAACAGTTTTGACCCATTCGAAAAATTCCAGCTATACAAGAAAGCTCAGTATTTGGGTACCACACGAGCTCACTGAAAGAAACCTAATGAATCGTGTACTCATTTGCGATTCACTATTGAAACGTAATGAAGACGAAAAAGATTTGAAAAGATTGATCAGTGGTCATGAAAAGTGGATCACCTACGGCAAGAACGTGAGGAAAAGATCATGGTCAAAGGGTAGTCAAGCTCCACAAACTGTAACGACACCCGGATTAACATGCAATAAGGTGAACTTCGCAACCGAAGATAGATGTAGATGTCTATGGGCCACAGCAACCACTTAGCATCAGGTGGACTGTGTGCTCGTTTGTCACCCTTATTCTATAAAAAAAATATATAATTCGATGTAATTAAACTCTGAAAAAAAATTTCTGGAATTTGTATATAAAATACGAAGAAACCTTTTTCCCGAGCTATTATATCTAATAGAATAGAATAAAATAATTTTTATTCAATATAGGTGAAAAGTAATTCTTATTGAAAGTATAGTTTTTTTTACTTTTACCACTGGTTCGAAAAAAAAACAGTCCTAAGATGATCATCCAGAAACCTAGTGGGACTAATACGTATTATAGAAACAAAAATCTTTAGCCCAAATATTAATTAAAATTACTATTTTCAGTATCTAGACGACCACAGTATAACAGGCGAAATGAGTCTTTCAACACTTCGAAAGAACCTCGGTATCGTCTCCCAAGAGCCCGTCCTGTTCGACCGCACGATAGCGGAGAACATTGCATATGGAGACAACACAAGAGACGTTCCTATGGAAGAAATAATCATGGCGGCTAAGGCGGCCAACGTGCACACATTTATTGCTGCTTTACCTACTGTGAGTGACTATATGATTGCTTAAGAATCGTAGTCTTTTAGTTTTTTTTTTCAGTTTCTACAACATTATTGTCACTACCCACTACCACTACTTGTTTCTAACTATACCTTTTTAGGGTTCCGTACCCAAAGGGTAACCAACGCGACCCTATTACTAAGCCTCCACTGTCCGTCCGTTTCTCCGTTTGTCTGTTAGCGGGCTGTATCTCATGATCCGTAATAGGCAGACAGTTAAAATTTTCTCAGTGTGTATTTCTGTAGCCGCTAAATCGACAAAATAATAAAAATAAGTTAAAAATTAAAAGGGGCTCCCCTACTAGAAACGTGTAATATGACGGTACGGAACCCTTCATTCGCGAGTCCGACTCGCACTTGGCCGGTTTTTATCCTTTATTTACTCAATGTCCAGCGGAGCCCAAAGGAATACATACATACATACATACATAAACACTCACGCCTGTCACCCAGAGGGGTAGGCAGAGATTATGGACTTCCATTTGGCACGATCCTGACACACCTCTCTCGCTTCCTCCACATCCATATACCTACGCATACACGCTCGTCGGTTAAAGGTACTCTTGATTTGGCCCATTTTTAATATATCGCCAATTTGGTCGATAAACTTTCGCCTTGGGCGACCCTTCCCGACTATGCCGTTCACCTCTGCAACATAAATTTGCTTTGTCACTCTTTCCTCATTCATTCTTTCTACATGGCCAAACCACCGAAGCATTCCTTTCTTAATCATGGTCACAACATCATCTTGCAAACCACACTCTTCTCTTATTAAACAATTTCTCACTCCGTCATTAGGCTTCATCCCTAACATACTCCTTAATGACCGCATTTCTAAAGCATTTATTCTACTCTCATGCTTCTTCTGCCACACCCAACTTTCACTACCATACATTAAAGTAGGTACTAACACAGCATTGTGAACTGCCATACGTGCCTTTTTGGACACATTCTGACTTTTCACAATAGAGTGTAGAGCCCCAATCACTCTATTTCCTGCATTGACTCGTCGTTCTATATCCTTATCATATCTACCATCCCTGCTAAACACACATCCCAAATATACAAACTCATCTACTTGCTCTACCAACTCCCCTTCTATTCTTATTTCACATATCGTTTTACTTTCTTCTCTTTCAAAAACCATAACTTTCGTCTTACTTGCGTTCACTTTCATTCCCTTTTCTTTTAATGTCCTGTTCATTAATGTAACCATCATTTGCAACTCGGCTGCCGACGACGCAAGTATGACTTGATCATCGGCGTACAAAAGGCATTTGACGGTTAACTCACCCATTCTTAACCCGCATTCTTCTATTTTCAAATTTTCCAAACAACTGTTCATAAATAGGTTGAACAACCACGGGGAAGCCACACAGCCTTGTCTGACACCAAAGGAAATTTAAAATTATTTTTATTTTTTCTTATTTTAGTAAGCGGCGAGAAACTTATAATAGTAAATCGCAATAAAAATATTTTGGGAATTTATTCATTTCTATGAACGCTCGTAATTCCTAAAATAGTCAACGATCTAATATCGAGTTATGAAAAGTGTGCGAAAGCATAAAATGGATATGGAGGACATGAACTGACAAATCTAGGACAGAAATAATAACTAACACATTTAGAAAATAATTTGGAACTCATTGAAATTTAATATTTTTCGCTTTGCAAACCAGTTGGCAACCGTTGTTTTTTATTATTTTGATTTGTTATCAGGAAGATACTGCTGCCCATTTCCTGCTTCATTTTTTCCCCCTGTAGCCTCTTACGGCACGCACTCCCGTGTGCCGTCAACACATCAGAAAGGCTTGGCGATTACGTAAATTCTGTTCATTCGATCGTCAGTCGTATGACAGTTATGAAAAAGCAGACGATAAATATGTAGTGATAATTTGACGTGATGTTATGTAAAGGGCTACGAGACGCGTATCGGCGCGCGAGCTTCGCAGCTGTCGGGCGGACAGAAGCAGAGGATCGCCATCGCGCGCGCTCTCGTCAGGAACCCGCGCGTCTTGTTGCTCGACGAAGCCACCTCGGCTCTCGACACGCACAGCGAAAAGGTATCAATAAAACTTTGCTTTTTGTAACTTAATATTTTGTAACTACTCCTCAGGCTTATGCTATACTATTTCAATAAAGAAGCACCTCAAGTATGGAATTTTTATTTTTATTATTTTATAACAACGAAAATACATTTTGTACGTGGTAGAGCCACGCTGCATCTATGTTACAGTTGTAGCACGAATTGGTGCCGGTGGGGATCGAACCCGGGTTTCTCGCGTACTGTGAAATTCAGAGCTTAGCCCCTGAGCTATCACGGCTTGATGCCATACCACGCCTTATTACGAGACAAATAATTGTTCTCTTTGCTTTCGTTGTAGGTCGTGCAAGAAGCTCTAGACCGCGCTAGTGAAGGCCGCACTTGCCTTATAATAGCGCACCGCCTAGCTACCATACAGAACGCGGACATTATCTGCGTCATCGATAAAGGCGTGATCGCCGAAATGGGCACTCACACGGAACTCATCGCGAGGAAGGGGATCTACGCGCGACTGTATGAGTTGCAATGCGGCTTCGTTGAGGAGTCCGAGGAGGACATCGATAGCGGTGCTGCTTAAGTTGAAGAATGTTAAAATGCTTGTTTCATGCTTATCTCGAGCGTTTCAATTTCCCGATAGACAGCTACAGTAGGCAAGTTAAATAGCGCCTAGACCCAACCCGATATGGTGCCCTTATTAAAACAATTCTAATGAGTGCATTAACGACTTTTTCTGCCACCAGGGCGGCGCCACTATAAAGTCAGGTATAATATTTGACAGATTTCATAACGGAGAAGTTAATTTATTCGGAAAATATAAAGGTTATTGTTTCTTTCTGTACTTTTAACTATATTTTATATTAATAAGATTAAAAATAAATAAACCATACCACAAATATTCGAAAAAGTAAAAAAATTAAAAAAATGTTAAAAATGCGCATAAATTAAAGAGCAAACCACTGAAGCATTGTTTTGTGTATTAATATAATACTCTAGAAACTGATAAACTTTTATTAAAAACCAATTTCTCAATTAAATGACATTGTGCAACTAAAAACTTTACCTCAGTGTCAACTAGCGACATCTGGTGAGCAGAAAATGACTAGCCCTCATTGATGGGATTTGAAATATAATCTCACCATAATGATTTCTTAGCGATACGAAAACTACACATTGAATAAAAGTATTTTTATAGATTTTATCGCGTTTAACGTATTTTTACTTATTTTAATTCCCGGCGTTTCGTGTGCTTTACAGCACCCATGGTCTTCGTTATTACAACCGATTTGATAAACCACAAGTTCTAGCAGAAGAACACCGATTCCTACCAAGGAAAATTCGCGAGGCTAGCGAAATTTAAAAAATCCAAATTCTAATATGAAAGATAGCAGGGTGCTACCGTTTGCTTAGAATCCTATAATTAATATAATTAAATCCAAACCCAAGCATACCCCTGCCAAACTTCAAGGTACCTACTATAAGTTCGTTCTGCGTAGATCGGACCAAAAATTAATTTCAATAGCTGACAATTAACTATGACATCTGGACGTCGAACACCTCAGCCCCCTCCCCCCGTGAACATGGATGCTGTAAAGCAGTTAAGCACTTAAAAAGTCGTGAATTAACATAAGTTAAACGCGATAAAATACGTAAAATTAGTTTTATTAATTATAGTCAACTTAAAGCTAATTATTGTGTCATGTTTGATTTAACCTCTTGTACAACGTGTACGTACATCATTAAAAAGCATCGTGTATTTTGTGAGTAGTGATAAAAATTATTGATGTCATTACTTTTCTCCAAACATTGTTGTGTTTTTCTACGAGAATGTTTTACAAAATTAAATTATATTTCAAAATTCTGAAGTAAGTCAGATACTAATGCTTGCTAAAAATCCGCTACAGATATGATTGTTGATAGATATCAGTGAGATAGAGGATTTCAGGCCTTTTCATTAGACAGAACTATTAACTGATACACAATAGAGGAAGTGATTGCCTTTGCTCCGTGGTGATTGCCGTACAGTTATTATACTTATATAGTTATGTAATCACTCAAAGTAGGTAATAGCACAGAATAATAAATTTTATGAAATGTACTTACTTTTCACATTTTAGGTATAAAGAGGCCTTTTACTAAATAAGGAATAAAAAATTAAACGTTCTATAATACATTAGATATTAATAAAGCACCGAATGATGCCAATTTATATAAAAAGTATGAAGACAATAATAAATATTTATAAAGTTATACAGCCAGTTATAAGGTCCCACTGCAGGATACAGGGTCTCATTTCTGAGAGAGGTTGCGGCGGTTCTCATATGTGTTCGAAATTTGTTTCTTTTTTATTTTTCAGTCACGCAGGTTTTTGCGCGATGTTTTTCGAACAAAAATCCCACACGGTAAAAATGTTAATACGTAATATGTAAAATAAAATAAATGTAAGAAATAACCGCTCATACTAAAAAAAATCTTTATTAGAAAAAATTTATCGATTTTCATATATTTTCTATAAATTTCCTACCCCATTTAGACATTCCTCAAACCTTTAACATTCCCTATTTTACCAATATCCTGACATTCCCCTATAAAAGACGGTTCTTCTATAATATTTTTTCATACTAACGACTCGCCCCGGCTTTGCCTTGATAAAATCTATTAATGTGACGTTATTTAGATTTAAGATAATCATCAAAGACCAATGATTTATCAATTTTCGATTTCACAAAAAATCTCCAACATTTTCCAATAAAATAGGTATAGCCTAGATCTCTCCTGGAATTGGTCCTATAATAGATTCTGATTGTGAGTTTCATAACAATCGGTTCAACCATTCGGGAGATTAGCAAGGACAGACAGACAGACAGACGTAAAAAATTTAAAAATGTTTTAATGGCATGCAGATAATCCCCTTTGCTCAATAAAAGGCAGTTATTTTGATTTTACAGACAGACACTTCAGTTTTATTTATATCTATAGACTAACTCATGTACGATATTATGGAATGTTTAAGACATTTTCTACCTTGAAAATAATTTTTAGAAAAATCGAAAATTCACACAAGTGGGTATACCTAAACATACAAATATTACACAAATGGACCTATTAACTGTAATTAATAATTACATAATTAATATCTATGGCTTATTGTACTAATTGATATATTTTTCAATTCAAGTGTGACATACTTTACTGCGATAGCTTAAATCCAGAAAAAGGGGGCACTTCCATGAACAAGATATGAGACAAATTTTGAAAAAAGTAGTAAATCTATTATGGCGGATGAAAAAAATATTTTGTGATCGAAATCAAAACCTATCGCAATAAAAAGGTTTTTATTGTGATAGGTATATATACACTACATCAAGGTAAATGTACACTACTCCAGATCGCACCTGCGATCCAGAGTAGTGTACATTTACCTTAATTTTTTCTTCACAAACATCCCAATTGAACTTATTTGATACTCGTATCTAAAGAGTAAATATGTAAATAGAAGATTTGTAAATAGACAATCCAAATTATTTTAGCACCTAAGGTTTTTCTTATTTTTTGCTTTACGTAGTTAATAATATTAACATATTGGATTTGAAGGATTAATAATTGCTTATACGTTTATTCAATAACTAAACTAACCTATATCGTTATAACAAACTCCTTTAAAAAAAACACTTGAACAGTTGCTTGCAGCTGCTGAAATTGTACGGATTCACAAAGCTGGTCACCTAACAAATTAGCATTATATTCATCACAGCCCGTCACAAGTCCACTGTTGAACGTAGGCCTTCGCCAAAGAATGCTATAAAGCACGTTACTGAGCCGATTGCATTGTAAAACTTCTTATATCGCTTATCAGGTCATCTCTTCATCTAGGGGGTGATTTTGATTCATAGAAATATAAGAAAACTATGACAGTTTAATTTGTACATATTTAGTTACCAAATAACTAAATAAATAATAACTAATTAGTGTCTTAACTAAGTATGTACAACAATAAAAATATAACTATGTATTGCCATGATCCAAATACCGTACAGGCAGCTTTTTATATGGCCTACAATTTTTTTCTGGTCTGGGTGTGTATATGTGCAATTTGTATATATAAAACGAAATGCCTCCACGATATAGGAGAAATTCCTAATGAGGAGTAACTTTTTTTTTAGAAAATCGGGATTGAGATTCCTTTATTTCATTAGATATAACTTATTAACAACTGACATTATCAAAGTCTACATTAAGCGAGGTCATACAGTAAAGAAAAGGAATACAAGAACTAACCAAATAACATAGGCCATTTTTAAATTGGTAGACTTTTTCTAATCGTTGAACTTGGTAGTCGAATTAGTGAGGACGTCACTTATTATGGGTCACAGATACCTAGTCTTAATTTCTATTTAGGTAGTTTAAAAAGCATACCTGTTAAAATTAAAATAAATCGCTAGTAGAAAACGCGGTCCATGTAATTGCTTCGGACGTGCCATTTCAAATTCATTTGTGTTTGAAAAAAAAATACTTCAATATGTTATATTTTACTAAAAACCATTATATATGGTACTGAAAATACTTATTATGGTATGTAATCCAGGTAAAATTATAAGTGTTGTTTTTTCTATGCAGTTTTTTGTTTCTTTATCAGCCCGCTTAAGTTTACTGTTGACAGATAAGCGATCGCAATGCCAGAGGTATCACACCCTTGACGCTGATCCCCAGTCGCCGTTTTGTACATTTCACGTCTGGCGTTAACGGGATGGTTATTAGACGCCATCAATCGGATGAAATGTCGTCTCTTTGGAATTTTCCATAGTCCACTTACTACATCCACGGTGTGGAATGTAAAATATTAACTAAAAGTTTAGTTTTTGTGTAAAATTAAGTTAACTTTAGTATTAACATAGTTTTTAAAAACACTCGTAAATTAGTATAAATTTGTAATTCACCCACTTGCTTTAGTCCTTGCTTAAAATGTAAAAATATTAGATAACGCTCAAAGTACTGTAGGTAATATGTAATTATATTTTAAGCATATTTCTATTTAAACAAAATTGTACTTAATTTTGAAATAAAAATTGAACGCTGCAATATCGTTGGTTTTATTTTCGAACATCCTTGCCAATGCTGCAATCATGCAATGCAATGCAATGCCTATTATTTATTGTGGCAATGCTATGACCACAGAACACATGTACCCTGACGGGATGACAATGTTTTTTTTTTATCGGCCCGTGATAGTCCATTGCTGGAAATGGGCCTTTCGCGTTGGTAGGATGATTTGCCTCAATCGTCACGTTGTTTTTTAATTTTAATAAATAATTATCATCATTCAATATCAACATCCTTCACAAGTCCATAGGCCTCCCCCAAGAAACATTACAAGACATGGTCCTGAACCACATGGCCGGCTCACTACCATTTTCGCTTACTAATCCGTGAGACTATGACGGTAATGCTGTTTCTACCGCAGATATCTTCATTTCGGATTTTATCACGCAGAGAAAATCTGACCTACCCCTCTGCTTATCCGCTGAGCGATAAGGCCACACGTCTACAACTTCGACCAGCAGTGAAGGACACGGTTCTCTA